TGGCCGTGCGCAGTGGCACGTCTCTGGCCGACCAGCGACCGTGGTCGGGCCGCTTCCATCTCGTCCCGGGTGTCGACCGCCGGCCGCGGGCGTCTGGCGACGACTCGCGGGCGCTGCTGCCTCCTGTGGGTCAGCGTACGGTGACCTCTAAGCTGGCCCAACACTCTGCCGCTCTCTGGGGCTGGTCGAGCGAAGTGACGGGCCTATGAAGGCGACACGGAAGCCGGCGGCCCCGATCTGGACCGTCGCCCCCCTCCCGCGATGGTGACTGTGTCGACCCCGGGGGCGCCGCGGTTGGACTGCGCGCCCCGCCCGGCCGGCCGCCCTGCACCGGTCGATGGACCGAACAGCAGGCCGGCGTAATTAGATGTCCGATGGTGTTATGTATTGTTGGCGGCCGTCGGCGGCCGCGACGCATATTGCGCGCCAGTGCGCGGCTGGCGCGGGGCTTGTCAGATGGACGCGGTTGGAGCCGGGCTCATCGCTCGTCGCCCACCGCTTACCGCTCGCCGTTCGTCTCGTGCCGGCCGCGGCGGTCTCGTATCCGGGGAAGATGTGACCGGCCGGTGATCTGACATCACACCGGGCCGCTGCTGTGATCGCCGTCTCCTGTGGCTGTTGACGCCGCGTGCCTCGCCGGTTGGCCCAGTGACCGGCCGCCGACACGGTCGCGTGCTCGAGACCGGCCGCGTCCTTCGCGCCAGGGATTCCTGACGTCGGTCGTCGGTCTGTGTGGAGCGCTCTGGTGGTGCTCTCTGTTAGTTATTTGTAAAAGCGTCTCCGCTTGCGCTTTGCCCTTTTCTTTGCGCTTTGATGGTGCGCTATCTGATTTGGCCGGTATCAGCCGTAGTTTTTCACACCATCTGCACATTCATTATCCGCCTCATATCCGTAGAATACAGGCGCGTGTGTAGCACGCTGCATCCCGCCTTTCTTCGCTGTCAGGCGCCTTGTCCGTCAGCCTTGGCCAGCTGGTTCAGAATACATCGCTGATTATGACGTGCACGACTGTGCTGTTGCGCGCCCACTGCCGCCCGGTAATGAGGGCGTCCCGCGTGACTTATTACCGCCGGCAGCGTGGGCAGGACCCGAGCGCGCCGCTGGCGTCGTGTGTGGAACTGCAGGCGCGGCGCCAGCGGGTAACCTCGCGACCCAGCCGCGGTAGGGAACCCGACGGAGATTATGCAAACGGACGCTGTGGCTTTGTAGCGAGGGGCGGTCCGGGCGATCGCTCCGCGTGATGGTCCTGAGTCAGCTGACGGGCGTGCGGCTCCGGCGGCGGCTGGGATGGCCGGCGCTCGGCCGTCCGGCTGGGGCTGGGGTGGCCGGCGCTCGGCCGTCCGGCTGGGGCTGGGGTGGCCGGCGCTCGGCCGTCCGGTTGGGGCTGCGGTGGCCGGCGCTCGGCCGTCCGGTTGGGGCTGGGGTGGCCGGCGCTCGGCCGTCCGGCTGGGGCTGTGGTGGCCGGCGCTCGGCCGTCCGGCGAGGCTGGCGTGGCCGGCGCTCGGCCGTGCGGTGGGGCTGGAGCAGCCGGCGCTCGGCCGTCCGGCTGGGACTGTGATGGCCGGCGCTCGGCTGTCCGGCGAGGCTGGCGTAGCCGGCGTTCGGCCGTGCGGTGGGGCTGGAGCAGCCGGCGCTCGGTCGTCCGGCCCGAGCCGGTGGGGCTGTGGAGGACGCCGTTTGTGCCAGTTGAGCCTCGGCTGAATTATTGACGGCCGTTTGGTGAGACTGCCACCGCCCGGACGGCCGATCGCTGACTGCTCTGTCGGCTGACGTCACGGCGCTGGGGCCGATGGTGCGTGGTAACACGTGCTGACAGCGCATGCCCTGGGCCGACGGCGCACGCGCTGCTCCACGCATGCTGCGGCACAGTGACCGACCGCCAGTACCGCAACTCATTGTGCCCGCTCTCCAGTTAGAACGGTTAATGAGGGATACGGCAGGCGGGAATTTTTATCACGGGGATGGACCGGAGATTTGACGTAGTCTGAAACCCGGCCGGTCTTTGAACCCCGGCCGGAAGTTTTCAACCCACAGGCACATATCCTAAGAAGTTGTGTGGTTAAAATTTCGAGACGTTTGCTTGCAGGCTGTGAGAACAGGCGTATTTCTCCTGAAACACTGCAGTGGTTCCCTATTTGAGCTTATATATTGTTAATGGTGGAGGAGTCAACGGACAGCCGTGGCGGCAGAGGTGCGAGCTGGTGTGCGTGCGTATGCCGCCAGTCAGTGCGCGCTCGAATGTAGACTGTGGGTCCGCCGATTTGTTGACGTTTTAAATAATGTATGTCGGATTTCAACACTAGGAGTATATAAGGGCATGCAACCGACTGCATGGGTAGGTGAATGTACCGTCTACAGGTCACTCAGGCAGCCCAACGCTGTCCGGCTGACAGCATCGCCAGCAGCCGACCGGAGGGCGGCCGGTGCCGCCTGCTAGCGATCCGATTGTCCGGGCCTCACACCTCGTCTGCAGCTCGCTGCTCGCCTCGTCTGCAACTCGCTGCTCGCCTCGTCCGCAGCTCGCTGCTCGCGTTGGGTGCCTGGAGTGTAGTGGTTAACGCGTCTACGTTAACCACTGCGCGTCTGGGAAACCAGGGGTACGGGGTTCGATTCCCCGCGGTGCCCACCCTTCCTGCCATGATAAGAGGCCGGCGACGCCATATAGCCTTAGCAGCTGAGTGCGTCGTAAAGCCCCAACGACACACACACACACACACACACACGCAGCTCGCTGCTCGCCTCGTCGGCACTCGCTGCTCGCCTGGTCTGCAGCTCGCAGCTCGCAGCTCGCCTCGTCTGCACCTCGGAGCTCCCCTCGTGTGAAGCTCGCTGGTCGCCCGTCCGCAGCTCGCTCGCGTCACACCACATGAGGCATCCTACTGGGGAGATAGGACGTCGAGCTGTCTCCAATTAATCGGGGATCGTATTAGTAGTTAAATTGACCTTGTTGTGCATAACGCCCTTTAGTCCCGTGACCAAGTTGGTGAATATGGAGGGTGAGGGATGGTGGTATGAATCCCCTGAAAATATTTGCATAATTACATTCATGTGTGCCACTCGGTAATCGCTCTACTTGCCTGCCATCGGACTCAATCACATTATTTCCGTCTTGAAAATGGGCTTTTTATCACCTCTGATTCGCCTCTTTGCGTTCTCACTGTTCATAAGTTTTCTGATTGTTCCACTGATGGGATTTGATCATTAAAATCGTTCCACACTTCCTCCTTACCGTGCTGGTTCAAAGCTTGAAAATACACCTGCTGATGGTTTCTTTCGTCTGTAACCGCCCAATTTTGAAACCATAGTTTCACCCTGAAACAACATTGGCATCATAAAGCTATCTCGCTCAGTAAGCGCATAGCCATCTACAATCCAGTTCCTGTGCGAAGCATCATTAATTTTCAACCTTCGCTTCCGAACCTTGGCACCGACTTGGTTACATTCAGTCGCCTGTCACGGCATTGCCGAATGTTTCGGCAAAGCTAGTAACTCACTTATGCTTGGAACCTTCCACAAAACTATACATGACTGGTCCATGGTGCGGCTTTGGCCGGCACCGGCCACCGCCCTTTATCCGTGGCAGCCAGCAGTTTGTTCGACCGCCCTTGTCTCGGGCGGCCGCGGCCGGCGTTCTGGTCACCGCAGTCTGGCCGTGGTCTCGGCTCGGCTGCTGATGGACGGTGGGTCGCAGTACGGCGACCGGTGCAGCGGCGGTGGCCGCCCGACCGTGGCCGGCGCTCGGCCGCGGCCTGCGCTGACGCCACCGAGCCGGCGAAGCCGTACGCCGCGGTGGCGCAGAACTGTGCTGTCCCGCGGCGACAGCTTTTCGTCATCCCTCCTCTCTCGCCGGGACCGGCCGGTCAGCTAGGGCGCGGATATTCGGGCCGGCCGTATAAAGCCCGCCGCCGCTGCCGGGCTCACGGCCGGGTTACCGGCGTTGCCACGGCGCGCTGCCGCCCGCCGGGCTGCCGTCGCCCGCAATCCACCAGGCTGCTGCTCCTCCTGAGGCCGGGCCCCGGACACTGCGCCGGCGGCCCGCCCCGCGCCACCGGCCTGCTCCGGGTGCGTGACCTGACGCACCGCGAGCGCGCTGCGGTGTCGGGTGGTGGCGGCCCGGTTACGGCGTGGCTATCGATTGCCATGCGGGGCCGGCAGCGGCCGCCACCTGGGCGTGTTGTGCCACCGGCGGCCGTTGCCCCGGTGACGCCGGCCGCTCCAGACTCCGGCGTGCACAGGCGCGCTCGCCGCGCCTCGTTCGCCGCCGCGTCGGCACGCGCGCCAGGCCGGCACCGGTGGGGCTTCCTGTGACCTCGGCACGGCCGCTACGTGAGCGGTGCTGGCGGCTGGGATGGCGTACGGCGGCCGCTGTCGACTCCGGTTCCGGCGGTAGCCGCCGGGGCCGCCGCTCGCTCGCCGCTCGCCGGCCGCCCCGCACCGCGGCCAGGGCTGGCCGCCGTGCCTGGACGTCGGCAGAGTTGGCTCGCTGGCGGACGCCGACGTCTGCTGCCGATGGGTGCCGCTGTGGGGCGACATATGTCAGCCACGCTCACGGAAGTGTGGGCATTTGTGATGAATCTAGCCGGAAATTAAAGGATTACGTTGACGGGAATGGGCATCAGCATTTCTGATTGAGTGTCTGTCGTATCCGGTAGTTGAAATGTTCTACATCAACCAGTGGTCTGCGCGGCAGTTTCTGCTGGAGTCGTTCGTAATCGGCACGCAGTCGTGCGCGATTCGGGCATCTGGTGACGTGATGCATTGTGCATGGTGGCCGCGGTTTTTCGGGAAGTATCCCGTTTTTGTGTTTACGTTACATACATTTTCAGCAGGAAATGCTATTCATGTTTTATGCCAGTGTTCCCAACGAGGTAGCGTCGCTGGCTACCCCCCTGCCAAGCTCACCAGCACGGCTTCTCCACCCCTCTGCAGGGGTGGCGTGCGGTACCGCGCATGCCGCTGTGGAGGCCCTCCCTGACCGATGCGTGCTGTTTGTCCGCCAGGGCGAGATATGCGGGCGGGCCGCGCGCCAGCCGGGATGTCGCAGCATGGCTGACCTGCTCAGCTACGGCGACGACGACATCAGTCGGCTGTTCCCCAAGTGTCGCGTCCAGGGCCGCCCGGCGTCCGGCTGGCCCGACGATGTGAACGCCAACCGCGACCTGATCGACCTGACCGAGTCGCCGCGCGCCGCCGCCACTCGCCGCCGGCCCGACCGCAACGGCAACGCCACTGCCATGGACGAGCTGCCCGGCGAAGACTCGGACTCGCGCGCCGGCCGGCCGGGCGCGCGCGACTCGCGCATCGAGCTGGCCGGCGGCCGCGAGCTGTTCTGCCAGAGCCGCAGCAGGCCGGGCAAGCGGCGCCCGGCGGCGGGCGGCCGAGGCGAGCGACGCCCGCCGGCCGGCCCGCCGCCGGCAGAGCCGGCCGGCGCGCTCCACCTGGCCATCCTCGGCTTCCAGCCGATCCGCGAGACGGCACTGGTCGGCATGGCCGGCGATGGTCTCTCAGTGGGAGAGACGCCCGTCCAGGGCCGCGTCGTGTTCGACGACATTGACTGCGCCCCGGCGCCGGCGCCGCCGCGTCAGCAGAACGGCCGAGCCTCTGGCGGCCCGGCCGAGGACGCCGTAGTCGGCTGCGAGGCCGCGCGCGTGATCGGCGCCGTGCCGATCGCCGAGTACGAGGGCTCGCCGCGCCGGTATGGGCCGCGGCCCGGCCAGCGGCCCGGCTTCCCGCAGCGCGTCCGCCACGGCGAGCCGGACCCGGAGCCGGCCGCCGCCGGCTGGCCCGAGCGCCGGGTGGTGGAGGAGGCCGAGCCGGCCGCGCCGCGGCGCCAGTACTTCTGGCCGGCGGAGGTGCGCCAGCTGACGCAGGGCGAGGGGCCGGCGCCGGCCGGCTTCGCGGAGGAGCCGGCGCTGGACGCGCTGCCGCCTCTGGACGGCGTGGCAGCCACGCGCGCCGCGAACTTTGCGCCGCCGCCGGCCGAGCCGGACGCCTGTGAAAGCGCGGCGTCGGCGGCCGCGTGCGCGCTGTCGCTGGACGGAGCGGCGGCCGGTGGCGAGCCGAGCCGGAACTTCACGCTGTCGCCAGAGACGACCGAGTGCGACTCTGGCGAGGTCGAGTCGGAGCTGTCGGAGGGTAGCCTGCCGTCGAGCGGCCGCGTCTGCCCGGCCATGCCCGTGCTGGAGGACGGCCTGTCGGACGGCGAGCGCACCGCGTCCGAGGACGAGGACGAGCCGCCGCCTCCACCTCCGCCGCCGCCCCCGCCTCCGCCGCCTCCCCCGTCCCCGCCCCCGCCTCCGCCGCCGCTGATGCCGCCGGTCGACGCCACAGCTGCGCTCATCCGGCACCACCTCAGTCAGCTGGAGGCAGAAAGGAGAGCTCCTCCGCCTCCGCCGCCGCCGCCGTCACCGCCGGCACTACCACCGCCGCCGCCGCCACCACCACGTTCGCCACCTCCCCCTCCGCCTTCTCCACCTCCTCCGCCTCCACCTCCTCCGCCTCCACCTCCTCCTCCACCTCCGCCTCCGCCTCCACCTCCACCTCCACCGCCACCGACATGCCGCTGCCGCCGCTGCCGGCGTCGGCAAAACACCGACAGGCCAGCATCACCCCGACGCGACAGAGAGGAGCTGGAGCATCGCAGCAGCAGCGCAGCAGCAGCTAGCACGCAGCTAGCATCAGCAGCAGCACAGCAGCAGCAGCAGCAGCACAACGACAAGCAACAACAACAGGCAAACACACAACACAACGAGACCAAAACACACAACACAGCAACAACAACACAACAACCAGCAGCAGCAGCAGCAGCAGGCAAGCCAGCAAGCAGCAGCAGCAGCAGCAGCAGCCGAGCAGCAGCCGCAGCAGCAGCAGGAGAACAGCAGCAGCAGCAGCAGCAGCAGCAGCAGCAGCAGCAGCAGCAGCAGCAGCAGCAGCAGCAGCAGCAGCAGCAGCAGCAGCAGCAGCAGCAGCAGCAGCAGCAGCAGCAGCAGCAGCAAAGGGCCCGTTACGGCAGTGGCGGTCTGGATCTTCGGTCGCTGGACCCGCTTGGTAGGTAACACGGCTGCGCTCAGATGCGACGCAGCAGTCTGTATCGTGTGACGGTCGCGGCTACCTGCTTTGGTGAAGCGTGCCCCGTCGTGTGCTGATGCTAGTCGGCGAGACTTGTGCTTCGGGACACGTCATTTAGATCGATCATTTGTGTGAAATTCATGTAAAGCTATGCTGAAATCCGATCAGGTGTTGATTTCAGTAAATCGGTGCTGTAAACATCTTTGGGTGTATCGTGAGATGGCTGTTGGTTTGAAATTCTCCCACCGAACTGCGGCGGTCGATTCAACGTCTCGCAACGCGAATCCAAGGGACGCCGTGAATGTTCAGGGCGGATGGGACCGTGACTTGCACTGCGTTAGCATGCACTGATTGCTGGTTCCTGATCGAACTGGGTGTGTGACAGCCAATGCGACGAGTAGAAGCCAGCACACATTGCCATTGCGTTGGCAACGGCTCGGGCGCCGCGCGCCGCAGGCCCTTGCTCTGCGCGGCAGCTCCCCTCGCAGGCCAGCTGGACACTGCTCCACCTCAGCCTGTTGTTTCTATTTTCCTGTTGCTGCGCCGTTATTGTCAACGGTGGCTGAATCCCGATCGCGGCTGGCGGCCCAAGTCGGCCCCTTATTCTCCAGTTATGTATTCCGTAAACACGCCGACAGAATTTGGCCGCCGGCCGCGCCGCCTTTTCATCTCGCATTGTGCCTCTGTTTGTTTTTGATTGGCCGTCGTGCTCGAGGGCGGCCAATTGGGGCGCGCCGGAGATGAAGTTTGCGCAGCGGGCGCCGAGTGCGGCCGGGCCGGGCCTGCCGGCGGTGGCTGCTCATCCCCAGGGGTCCGCCGCCGCCGCCGCGCCCGGCCATTGTGCGGCCGACGAGGGACGCCGCCCCTCTGCAGCCGGCGTATCGGCGCTCCCGCCGACCGCCTCCGCCTCATCTACTGATGGCCCAGCGATCAGCGCCAACCGGGCGACATGGCTCCGTGGAACGCCCCGCTCCGTTGCCACATGGCGTCGGGGATCGCCCCTCTCCGTCGCCTCATGGCGCCGTGGGTCGTCCTGCTTCGTCGCCACACGGTGCCGTGGATCGCCCCGCTCCGTTGCCACACGGTGCCGTGGAACGCCCCGCTCCGCTGCCGCACGGTGTCGTGGAACGCCCCGCTCCGTTGCCACATGGTGCCGTGGAACGCCCCGCTCCGTTGCCACATGGTGCCGTGGAACGCCCCGCTTCCGTTGCCACATGGCGCTGTGGAGCGCGCGGCTGGTCGGGCTCCGTTCCAGCCAGGTGGTCTTGTTTATGATCGGACACCTGGACATCAAGCTAGTTGTGTGGCACGCCTGTTCTGGACGGCTGATGCGGCGGCGGGCAGCGTCACCGCCTCTGTCATTGGTTGGGGCGCTGCCGGGGCTAGCCTCGCGGCCGCGTGTCTGCCCGGTCACCGGGAGCGCCGGCGGGCTCGTGTCGTGCGTCAGACCGGCTGTGAGTCCTGCTCCGTTCGGCCCGACCCGTGCTTCTGGTCAGGGCTGCGGCCGTCTTTGCGGGCCAGCTCGCCCTCCGACGGACGTCGCCCTGGAGGTCGCCGGGGCAGTGGCCGCGCCGGCCAACCGCGCCTGGATCGTGACCTGCCAGCCGGAGCTCGTGCCGGCCGTAACTGTCCAATACATGCGCTCCCGTCTCCCTGGAGGCGTCAGCGGTGTAAGTTCGGCAATGTGCGCCGCAGAGTTGCCCGAATGGGTAGTTTCAAGACGACGCTTTGCGGTGTTTGGCAGTTCCATTTCAGTGTGGAGTTGTTTATTGCACTCCAAACGCGCGAGATATTTGCAATGTTGTGTGGTACGAGTGTCGTTTTATGGTAACAGATGTCATCAAGTAACCTGCTGTATAACATAAACATTCGGTAAAACAGATAATGAGGAACAAACTATATTGTTAAGAACAATGTGGACTTATGCTACATAGAGGAAGTATGGCGTGGCTTTTATCTGGCACTATTTTGTGTCCTATTTCGTAGGTCAATTTCCGCCTGATATAAACTAGTCATTTATTGGCATTTTCCCCCAGCAGTGGCATTATTGTCTTCACCTCCGAGCCGTGTCTGACGTCTGCCCGTCGCTCAGAGCTGTGACCGTGGCCCGTGTTCGACAGGCTCGGCCGGCTGCTCGCCGCCGCCGCCGGCGCCGCGCGCCACTGGCTCGCCGCCGGTCGGGCCGCCGGCCGCCTCTCCGGCGCACGCGGCGGCGCCGGAGTCGGTGCAGGCCGCCATCCAGGACATCCGACAGGCTATCCGACGGACGCGCGCGCTGCCCGTCAGAACGTCACCGGCGGCCGAGGAGGAGGCCGCCAGGCAGGAGCGCCCCGTCTGGATACCCAGGTGACGTAGTGGTCCGGCCCGTCTGGATACCCAGGTGACCGGTGGTCCGGCCCGTCTGGATACACAGGTGACACCGTGGTCCGGCCCGTCTGGATGCCCAGGTGACACAGTGGTCCTACCCGTCTGGATACCTAGATGACACAGAGGCCCGGCCCGTCTGGATACCGAGATGACACAGTGGCCCGGCCTGTCTGTATACCCAGGTGACACGGTGGTTCGGTCTGTTTGGATACCCAGGTGACAAAGTGGCCCGGCGGATACCCAGGTGACCATGGTCCGGCCCGTCTGGATACCCAGGTGACACGGTGTTGACCCAGTGATCGGGCCCACCTGGATCATTAAATAACCCAGCGATCTGGCCCATCTGGACAATCAGTGGACCTGGTGGTCTGGCCCATCTGACTGCCCAGGTATCGTATTGATCTGGCCCGTCAGAATGCCCAGCTAGTCTGTTGATATAACCGGAAAGTAACGGAGCAAGCGTCGGCCAGCCGTCGCTACAGCATCTGAGCGGTGCTGAAAAGGCCATATCCAGGTGGCGCTGAGATCAGCTCCGTCACCGGAGGGGCACCGATCTCCGCCTGGGACTGACAGCCGCCAACTGTCCATGTCTGCATGACATGACAGACGCGCCAGCCCTGCGGAGATACGCGGACACATGCCGGACGGTCGCGGCCTGCGGCAGCCTGACGGATCCGCCTCAGTCAGCCGGGAATGAAGGCTGCTGCCTGCAGTGCTGGTGTCTCGTTAGGCTTGATGCGTCCTCATTGCTGTTAAAGATGGCGTGTGTTGGGGTATCCGCCATCCTCGAGACCTTGGACAGACCTGATTTTACCTGAGCTTGAGGCGATGCTGGAGACGCAGCGGCGACCTCCTCATGCGGCGCCTTTGATGTTGGGCGCCATCATGGATCACATCGATTGGAAAGCTTTATTGGCTCTATAATGATGCTATTCATGGCTTCACGAGGTCGTAGAGCGTAATAGGGTGATATATCTGACTTGTGTTGGATGCTCCGGTACGAACGATGAGGCGAAGATTTGATTTATGCACGGGCCGATAGGTGGCAGTGTCAGTGCGCGTCCGCTGTTCATTTTCGGCTGCATCGATGAAAGTAACCGCGGATGACACCTTTAATTATGGATGCTGAGTGGGGCGTGCCCAGTTAAGCGCATCTCTCTGCACGAGAACCGGTCTAATTTTCGTAGTGAGCTCCAATTTTACGTTCTCCTGAAACTGGCTCAAATATCTGATGGACTAATATGTCAAGCTGGGTTGCAACGCTAAGGCAGGTTTTATTTGTACAGTTTTCTCTCTGTACTAGATGTTTCCTCCTGCCGCGCCTTGTCCACAGCCAGGAATTTGGTATGCCCCAGCTTCCCATAAAAGTACCCTTCGTCATACTGATGTCGACGTGCCAAGCACGTGCATGCCCATGGGTGTGGCCGTTCATCCGGAGATGGGATCCCAGGACCTCCGTGCCACTCGTTATCATGTCTGTCTAGGGTGCAGGCTGGTCTAGAGACACACCACCCTTGTGTCTGCTACGATGCGATCTGTGCAGGAGCTGTTTAGTGCCTGGGAGAGGGCAGACAGCCAAAACGAAAGGATGCATCATTGTACATACCTTATAAACATTGAACAGGGACCGGTCCTTTGGCACCGATTATTCTAACTCGTTCATTGCGACGTGTATTGCCGAACCTAGTAGCGGTGAGTGGCTCACGGCGAATAGTAAAGCAAGCATGCCAGAGGGAGGTGTGCTTTAGGTATTAAAGCATACCAGAGGGAGGTGTGCTTTAGGTATTATAATGCCAGAGGGAGGTGTGCTTTAGGTATTGTAGCATGCCAGAGGGAGGTGTGCTTTAGGTATTATAATGCTAGAGGGAGGTGTGCTTTAGGTATTGTAATGCCAGAGGGAGGTGTGCTTTAGGTATTATAGCATGCCAGAGGGAGGTGTGCTTTAGGTATTATAATGCCAGAGGGAGGTGTGCTTTAGGTATTATAGCATGCCAGAGGGAGGTGTGCTTTAGGTATTATAATGCCAGAGGGAGGTGTGCTTTAGGTATTATAATGACAGAGGGAGGTGTGCTTTAGGTATTATAATGTGCACGTTCACGGCGATGAGGAGTTTACGCGATGCCGTAGGAAAGTCATAAGTTTGAGCTGTCGATACAACTTTTGCGCATATTTCGTCATGAAAAAGGGGTCTGAATAACAACACAAAATCTCCGGATGACCGGTTCTCTGCGATCACTTTCACTTAACGCTTCTGGTTGACTTCACTGTTTGTGAACAAGAACCATTTGGTCATTCGGTCCTCGCTCCAAACGGCATTGACTCGAACAGTGCCGTTACAGTGTTGGAAGTCATGACAACCTCTGCACACGAACTCTGCACACTGCGCATTCGTGTCTGCGCGCGGACACTGGATTCACTGATGGCACTCGTGCCCCACCATGGCGGCCCCCCGCAGCTCTGCCTCGTGCGTCCGTGGCCGACTGGTCTGCGCTGTCCTCGCGTGTGTATAGCTGACGTCCCGTCACCACCCGGTCCGCAGACGCTCCGGCTACCAGAAGCTGTCAACGCAGTGTGACGACCCGCCGCCGGCGCCGCGCCACGAGAACGGTCAGTCCCGCCTCCCGCCCGCCGGTGGTGACCTAGCCCCGGTCACCGGGAGGGTCGGCCTCATTCGGGCCGTGGCCGGGGTCACTCCTGATGTGCGGTCAGCTGTCTGGCCTGCTGCTGGCAGACCGGCCGCTGGCGTAAGCCCGCCGGCAGGGGCTGTGTGGGGAGGCCGTTGCTGGCCGGTGGTGGGGTCTGCGTGTCAGGCTGACGTGCAATGCTTCGGAGCGGCGGCGCGCCGTGCAAGGTATGGCTGGGGGACAGTCGAAGCAGGTGGATGGCCTGGAGGTGCCGGGACTGCGCACAGTTATGGAGAGCTATGGGCGGCAACCATCGAGGCAGGTTGTTGGCCTGGAGGTGCCGGGACTGCGCACAGTTATGGGGAGCTATGGGCGGCAACCATCGAGGCAGGTGGTTGGCCTGGAGGTGCCGGGACTGCGCACAGGTGTGGGGAGCTATGGGCGACAACCATCGAGGTAGGTGGTTGGCCTGGGGGTGCCGGGACTGCGCACAGTTATGGAGAGCTATGGGCGGCAACCATCGAAGCAGGTGGTTGGCCTGGAGGTGCCGGGACTACGCACAGTTATGGAGAGCTGTGGGCGAGGCTACGCGTTTCGTCTCCTCGCCTGCACCCTGGGACTGAAGCCGTGTTCTGTGATTCGGTCCGCTGCCTGCCGGGAGACCGCGGTGCGTGAGGCAGCTCTCATCGATTGGGCTGAGAATTAGCGACGTGGACAGCGACCGCAGCCACACGCGCCGTGAGGAAATTGACTGGTTATTTATACTGAAGCTACTCGTCATGGCCCGGCTTCTCCCCATCGCTCAGCGTCGCGTCCGCCCGCAGCGAGCTGGTGTCGCGGCTTGTCGGTGCGGCGGCCGGACTCCCCCCCCCCCCCCCCGAAAGATTGATCCCGGTCTCACGGGGCCGGCCGCCCGCCGTCACCATATTGGCTGCGCCGTCCTGATTTCATTTGTCATGTGACCATCTCCGGTCGGATTCGCGGCCGAGCCGCATCGCTCCTCGGGGAGGATGTGTGGGGGGCAGGGAAAATTTCCCATCTCGGATGTCCCGGCAGCGTATGGGGTGGTACGGTGCGCCACTATTACAGCCCAGGATGGCTATAGAAAGCTTCACCAAGGCTAAATGTCAGCTATACATCGGACGCGATGGGACTAAAAACGGAGAGGCGCGGCGTTTTCATCAGCAGATGCTCCTAAGAGACCGTTGTTTGACCCATGCGCATTAATTGCAACCCCCCAGGGATGCCTGCTCAAGCGAAGGCGTGTTGTTTGTTTCTTTAAAAATTACATTGGCTCAGAGTACACCTGATAACAAGCGGATTTAGTTCACTTGCCTTATGTTACGCTTTATTGTCGGTGACAGGTATTTGTACAGCGATTTTTAATCCTCATTGATCAGAACACTGAGCGAGTGAAATAAGAACAGGTAGTCTGGCGTATTGGTTGATCGATGCTGGTGTACTTCAGCCCCACTAGTGTGCCACCTACCTGATGTTTCTTTTGTTCTTAACAAGACCCGGGACTAAATGGAAGGCTAAGTTTTGCTGCGTTTTTTCCGTTTTCGACATCCATCGTGTGCTGGGCAATAACAAGAGCGATGTTGCATGCAGGCGTTCATAACAATTGCGGAAACATGTTCCCGCCCGACACCATTCGCCCGCGCCGTGCCCGTTGCTCATGCTTTCCATCGAAACACTCCTGGAGAGGTCTGAACGGATCAAAAGTGTGCTTGAAGCGGTTGATGCGAATGCGTGTATCCACATGGTAGCCAAAGACGAACGTTCGCTCGATTCCGCCCGTGTTTTTACCGTCCGGCACCCATTGTTGACCAGGAGGCTGCCTTCTACTCTCCCTCATATTCCCCTCCCTCCCTCTCCCGCTCTCTCATTAACCAGGCCGAGCGGGCAGACAAAAGGGCGTCGTGAACTCGGACAGGAAGCGGGGTCACTTCCGGTCAAGACGGGGGGGGGGGGGGAGGCGGTAGTCTCCATTGGAGGCGCGGCGGGGTACGAAGTGGCCACGAGAAGCTGCCGAGGGCGCGGCGATCGCGGCCAGCGCCCCGGAACCGGCAGCATATCCGCATCACGCCTGCCTGAGACGCCCGACACCGAACACGCTACAGTGGCGAGGCCGAGGTCGCGGAGCCGGAGCCGGAGCCGGAGCCGGCCGACCGCCGCCTCTCCTCTGTCTGTGCCGGGACGCGGGACGGTCCGGAGGCCCTGCGGTCCGACCACCGTCTTCGCTCTGTCTGTGCCGGGACGCGGAGCGGTCCGGAAGTCCTGCAGTCCGGACGCCATCCTCTGGTTGTCCAGGCGAGTACTGTGGGCAGCCAGAGAGGCACACGGCCCCACCCGGGAGGACAGCCGTAGTGGCGGCGGCGCCGGTGTCGGGGCGGCGGCCGTCCCTCGCGGAGCGCCGGCGCAGCGCGTGGGCAGCGCCAGTGGCTGGTGCCATCGCCGGGGCCGGCCGACCCTCTCCGTTCGATGCCGGCGAGGAGACGTCGCCGGCTGCCAGTGAGGCAGGGCCAGGCTGCGTGCGAGGCAAGGCCGGGCCGACCGCACCGACAGCCAACATGATCTACGGCCTGTACATCCGGTACGACCCCGTGTCGGACGGTAGGTACCGGCTCGGCGGTGGGGCTGCCGGTCGTGGCGTGCCTTTCTGGAATAAAGGCGCGCTAATTGCTGGGTAAGCTCTTGTCCAGGACGGGAGGAAGTGATTGTAAGAATGGTGATGAAGTTGGGTCCGTCGCTGAGGGGCTTCTCCACATCCGTACTAGCACCAAACGTTTCGCGTTATTCTGCCCTGCGGTATGTGTTCTAATAATGTGTTGGAACTCTGTTTACCGGAAAAAGGCTTGCATTCTTTGTCCTAAACAAAGACTTTCGGGCAACACGTTTCCCCATATTCAAGACATTAGCGTTAAGACATCGTGTTAAAACAAACTGAGCTATGCCACCCTGAACTATGTAGCTTAGGCTTCTTGGCGCTTTCCGTGTTATTTTTTCGTTTCGCGCCACCCTTGGGGATCATGGCCCATTGTGCTGTACCTTGAAACCGTTCATTAAAGTTCAGGTTTGTATGGCTTGTAGAATAATCAGCCGCCTTTATTGGCACTGCCCCTGCACGCGCGAAGCAGATTGACGTCATTGTAACGGCTATTCCTCGACAGAACGCTATCGAAATCGCTTATCATTCCATTTGCCGTTGTGTTCAACGTCGGGCCAATTACCGGGCGGCTGGTGCTGGTCCGTGGCGGTAAGCGCGGCGGCGGCCGTGTCATCGCCTGCTGTCGGAGCCAGCCGCTGGCCAGGCTTCACGTGCCACCGGGGCGGCGCAGCGCTGCTGCCGGCTTGAACGGGCGGCCGGCGCGAAGGACATGGTCACCGTTTGGTCAGCTGGAGTTGTTTAGGCTGGCGCCGCCCTGTTAAGTGTCTGAAAATAAGGTAGGGTTCATATTGCACGTGACATATCCCCATCTTGTGTCCTTGATTTGGCCTTTATTTTTGTTGTTCATTCTCTGTGGCAGATGAGACTGTTTGCTGCCCAAATTGCTAAAGCATTCTAAACATGCCACATTGTCATTACTTTGCTCGGCAGATCGCTAAAGGTGATACGTTCGCAGGCTTGCGCAAGTTTCCCTGCCCGATTTTCTGAAAGGCGAGTTGCAAGTCGTTTTCGCCTTCGACAGCTGCTGACCTCTGGTGGCCCGGACCGCCACACTCAGGCTGGCGGCCGGCGTTTCTGTTTGATATACATTGGGGGTGCCTGCCGGTGTCCCAGGGCCAGGATTAAAGGCCCCGTATTATCTCTCCGGCACATGACTTCTGGCACTGGAGCGACCGGCGGATCAGACCGGGCGTCGGGGAGGCCGGCTGATCAGGCTGGGTGTCGGAGAGGCCGGTGGATCAGGCCGGACGCCGGAGGGGCTGGTGGATCAGGCCGGGCGCCGGAGAGGCCGGCGGATCAGGCCGGGCGTCGAAGAGGCCGGTGGATCAGGCCGGGCGTCGAAGAGGCCGGCGGATCAGGCCGGGCGTCGGAGAGGCCGGCGGATCAGGCCGGGCGTCGGAGAGGCCGGTGGATCAGGCCGGGCGTCGGAGAGGCCGGAGCATCAGGCCGGACGCCGGGGAGGCCGGCGGGTCGTACCGGGCGCCGGGGAGGCCGGCGGGTCATACCGGGCGCCGGGGAGGCCGGCGGGTCATACCGGGCGCCGGGGAGGCCGGCGGGTCATACCGGACGCCGGGGAGGCTAGGCCTCGCCAGCCGCCCAGCAGCGGATTCACCGCTGATTGGCTCAACAGGCGTGAGGGGCCCTACACCGATACTGCCGAATGGCTCCCCGTGAACGGGCCGGCGGGCCCGTCCAGGCCCGCCCGGCTGGCCTGGACGTTTTCGGTCGCTGCGTGAGCCAACGAGCTGGGTCAGGACTGCTTAACGGCTGTGCTTCAACTGGTACCCCGTTCAATACTGCTCATACCTTCCGTGCTTCCGATGTGGGAAAATTTGTCGGAGTCAGTGCCGCTGAAACCTTCGTGTGAGTGAATCAGCTGAGTCAGCGCCGCTTACAGTCTCCCCGGGAGCGCAGCCGGCGCCATGTGCTGTCAGTTTCTCGTGGGGGCGTTATTGAGGACCAATACCGCTGACACTCGCGATATGGGAGAACTATCATCTGTGAGACTGGGCTTCGATCGTGGCGTCTGGTGCTGCCGGCGGGGTGAGAACGGCGCCCAGTGACTGAGCTGCGAGAACAGCTCCCCATCCGCAACATAGGCACTGAGGTCGTTGCGGCAGATGCCTGTGACGCGTGATGTCAGGTATCTGCGCCACGATCGGGCGGAAACTGTGAGCTTGTAGCTGTTTGTGTGTGACATGCGATGTTACTGGTGTGCGTGTGGAAGACTACCATTGATTAGCTTCTAGGAAGGCATGCTGCCAGTGAAGAACTGTCCTCATATTTGTATGTGTGTGAGTGCGTCGGTGTGCGTGCGTGCGTGCGTGCGTGCGTGCACACGCGTGTGTGTGCGTACGTGCATGTGTGTGTGTGTGTGTGTGCGCGTGTGCGTGCGTGCGTGCGTGCGTGTGTGCGTGCTTGCGTGCGTGCGTGCGTGCGTGCGTCCCCTGGTGTGACGGCGTCTGACGCGGCCGCCGCCCGTCCGCAGAGGAGGCGGACACGGATCAGGAGACGGACCGACTGCTGGGCCAGCAGCGCACGGTCGGCGCCGACCCGGCTGGCCTGGACAAGGTGCGTACAGAGCCGCGGCCGCCCTCCCACGGCTCAGCGGCGCTCCGGTGCCATGTGAACCCCGCTTCGGTTAGCTCTCTCCGCTCTCCTCGTACTTTTGTGTCGGCCGGAAATAATACAGGGATTCTTTTCGTGTGGATCTTGGAAACACACCAAGTTAAACTTAAATTTGACCTAAACAGATAGGTTCTTCTCCCATATTCACTTAAACACGCATTTCTTTGCGCGCGTAATCCCTCCGTAGGACTGCCTGCAGTTCACCAGTCGATATGGTTTACTTGTGGCGCACCATTTTTCCGACCTTTTCATTTCGGCCCGAATGGCAATACTCGCCGTGGGTAATTTGTCAGAAGTTGGACGGCCGTCCCCAGCGGGCGGGGAAGCTCACCGGCTCTGCTGCGAAGCCGGGGCCTGCCAGCCGGGCGGCGGTGGCGCTGTTTTTGTGCCGCGCTGTGTAATGGCCGGCGGGTCTGATTGGACGGCTGTCGGGACGGCCGGGAGCCATCGGGGAACCTGCCGGCCGTGCGGGGCCGGGGTCCCGCCGGGGCCCCGCGGCCTCCGTCCCGGCTCAGACGGCAGGCCCGGCTGAGTCCGCCGCGTGCGTTGCAGGCCGTTGTCGGCGCCGGGCGCGGCGAACCCGCGCGTGTGAGTAGTGTGAGCGCGAGTGGTGCGGGGCGGTGGAGGCAGGCCCGCGTGAGCGCGGTGCCGTTCGCTGGCCGGCCGCAGGTGTCGCGCCGGCGGACAGGTGGCCGGCTCCCAGCGGCGGCGCCAGTGTGCGCCGCCCGGCCGCCGGCGCAGCATGGGGCTCGGCGAGCCGCCGGCGCGCCGGCCCGCGGTGAGTGCTGGCCCGCGCTGGCCTGTGCTGGCCCGCCCGGCCGGCGGTGGCGGCCACGCTCGGTGTCCGGCCGGCTCGGTGGGGGTCTGTCGTGCCAGGGGCGGGGTTTTCCGGCTGGTGTTGGTGATCAGGAGTCTCCTGGCTGTAATCGTTTGGGTGGCCGAGTTCGGCGTGCGTGTTTGGTTTGTATGGCTGCTGCTGTCCGGTGGCGGGTGGAGCCCACGCGGGGCGGCGCTGCCGCGTGCGGCCCGTGCCAGCCGTGACGCGACGGCTGCTCGGCGGCCGTGCGTGTTCATAATGGCCGTATCGTCAGCTGTCCCGCCAGCCGATGGTAAATCCGACGCGCAGTCCAGAGACGTCGTGACAGACGGCCGCAGAGGCGACGCCGTGACAGACAGCCGCGGAGGAGACGCCGTGACAGACAGCCGCGGAGGAGACGCCGTGACAGACAGCCGCGGAAGAGACGTGGTGACAGACAGCCGCGGAGGCGACGCCGTGACAGACAGCCGCGGAGGCGACGCCGTGACAGACAGCCGCGGAGGCAGCGCCGTGACAGACAGCCGCGGAGGCGACGCCGTGACAGACAGCCGCGGAGGCGACGCCGTGACAGACAGCCGCAGAGGCGATGCCGTGACAGACAGCCGCGGAGGAGACGCCGTGACAGACAGCCGCGGAGGCGACGCCGTGACAGACAACCGCAGAGGCGATGCCGTGACAGACAGTCGCGGAGGAGACGCCGTGACAGACAGCCGCGGAGGAGACGCCGTGACAGACGGCCGCGGAGGCGACGCCGTGACAGACAGCCGCGGAAGAGACGCCGTGACAGACAGCCGCGGAGGCGGCGCCGTGACAGACAGCCGCGGAGGCGGCGCCGTGACAGACAGCCGCGGAGGTGGCGCCGTGACAGACAGCCGCGGAAGAGACGCCGTGACAGACGGCCGCGGAGGCGACGCCGTGACAGACGGCCGCGGAGGCGGCGCCGTGACAGACGGCCGCGGAGGCGGCGCCGTGACAGACGGCCGCGGAGGCGGCGCCGTGACAGACAGCCGCGGAGGCGGCGCCGTGACAGACAGGCGCGGAAGAGACGCCGTGACAGACGGCCGCGGAGACGACGCCGTGACAGACAGCCGCGGAGGAGACGCCGTGACAGACAGCCGCGGAGGCGACGCCGTGACAGACAGCCGCGGAGGCGACGCCGTGACAGACAGCCGCGGAGGCGACGCCGTGACAGACAGCCGCGGAGGCGACGCCGTGACAGACAGCCGCGGAGGAGACGCCGTGACAGACGGCCGCGAAGGCGGCGCCGTGACAGACGGCCGCGGAAGAGACGCCGTGACAGACGGCCGCGGAAGAGACGCCGTGACAGACAGCCGCGGAGGCGACGCCGTGACAGACGGCCGCGGAGGCGACGCCGTGACAGACGGCCGCGGAAGAGACGCCGTGACAGACAGCCGCGGAGGCGACGCCGTGACGGACGGCCGCGGAAGAGACGCCGTGTGCGGCGGGCTCCAAATCGGAGGGCTATCGTCTGTAAAGCAGATGTGTACGGCTTGTTTGCACCCAGCCGAGAACCGTCGGCACGTTTGTGCGTGATTGCGGCTGGTGGGTAGAATCACGTTACTCGCGGAGGAGTGACTCGGCCGTGTTTGATGCCGGGGCTCCATTAATCGTGCTCAGTCGTGCCTGTCATTGACTTTCACTGCGGTCTGGGTGGCGGGAGTTGAACCCGGACAGGCAATCCGCGACCATGCTGCTAAAAAACAGGTCTGAGTCAGGCAGCTTGCCTCCTGCAAGTCTGTGACAGGAGGGGATGGCTGACGCCCTGGCTCAAGAACAGTGTATAAAGTCTCTCCTTAAGCTGAGTATCGAGGTACGTGACGCCACCACTCTCAGCGTGGCGCAAGGCTCAGTCGCGGGGCGCACGTCTGCAGCGGCTCCAGGGCCACGTGAGGCAAGGCTCCAGGGCCACGTGATGCTCGGCTCCAGGGCCACGTGACGCTCGGCTCCAGGGCCACTCAGGGCGCTCGGCTCCAGGGCCACGTGACGCTCGGCTCCAGAGCCACTCAGGGCGCTCGGCTCAGGGCCACGTGAGCTCGGCCAGCCACGTGACGCTCGGCTCCAGAGCCACGTGACGCTCGGCTCCAGAGCCACGTGACGCCGGCTCCAGGGCCACGGACGCTCGGCTCCAGGGCCACGTGACGCTCGGCTCCAGGGCCACTCGGCGCTCGGCTCCAGAGCCACGTGACGCTCGGCTCCAGAGCCACGTGACGCTCGGCTCCAGGGCCACGTGACGCTCGGCTCCAGGGCCACGTGACGCTCGGCTCCAGAGCCACGTGACGCTCGGCTCCAGGGCCACGTGACGCTCGGCTCCAGAGCCACGTGACGCTCGGCTCCAGAGCCACGTGACGCCCGGCTCCAGAGCCACGTGACGCTCGGCTCCAGGGCCACGTGACGCTCGGCTCCAGAGCCACTCAGGGCGCTCGGCTCCAGGGCCACGTGACGCTCGGCTCCAGAGCCACGTGACGCTCGGCTCCAGAGCCACGTGACGCTCGGCTCCAGGGCCACGTGACGCTCGGCTCCAGGGCCACGTGACGCTCGCTCCAGAGCCACTCGGCGCTCGGCTCCAGGGCCACGTGACGCTCGGTCCAGGCCACGTGACGCTGGCTCCAGGGCCACGTGACGCTCGGCTCCAGGGCCACGGCGCTCGGCTCCAGGGCCACGTGACGCTCGGCTCCAGGGCCACGTGACGCTCGGCTCCAGGGCCACGTGACGCTCGGCTCCAGGGCCTCGCGGCGCTCGGCTCCAGGGCCACGTGACGCTCGGCTCCAGGGCCACGTGACGCTTGGCTCCAGGGCCACGTGACGCTTGGCTCCAGAGCCACGTGACGCTTGGCTCCAGGGCCACGTGACGCCCGGCTCCAGGCCCACGTGACGCTCGGTTCCAGAGCCACGTGACGCTCGGCTCCAGGGCCACGTGACGCTTGGCTCCAGAGCCACGTGACGCTTGGCTCCAGGGCCACTCAGGGCGCTCGGCTCCAGGCCCACGTGACGCTCGGTTCCAGAGCCACTCAGGACGCTCAGTGTTGGGGACTGTGCTCGGCTATTGCCGGCAGAGTTGTGCCGCGTGCGTGCGGGAGCTATGCGGGCAGTGCGCCGTGTTGTGTGGCGCCTCGCTGACGGTGTCGATCGATGCCCGCTGTCAGCCGGTGCTGTTGGCCTGTTTGCGCGCGGTGATCCACAGCCGGTCCGAGTGAGGGCCGCACGCGTCACCCCCGCGCCGTACATGCGGGCCGAACTGCGTGGCGCGGCTCCACTGTCAGAGGCGTCACCCCCCAGACCGTGTCCCGCCTATCGCGCAGGCACCCTGACCTCCCCAGGGACCTCCTCCCCACTGACTTCCCCAGGGACCTCCTCCCCACTGACCGCCTCAGCGACCACCTCCCCATTGACAGCCCCAGGGACCTCCATCCCACTGATCTTCCCAGAGACCTCCTCCCCACTGACCTCCCCGGGAACCTCCTCCCTATTGACCTCCCAAGGGACAAGGGACTATTGACCTCCCCACTGATCTTCCCAGGGACCTCCTCCGCACTGACATCCCTGGGGACCTCCCCCCACCGACCTCCCTAGGGACCTCCTCCCCACTGACGGCCGGAGGGACCGTCCACCCCTCCGCAGTGCAGGAGGGGCGGCCGCTGACCGACGCCGGCATGCCGTTCGCACGCAGAGCTGGCGGAAGTCGCGGCCGCGCATCCCCAAGTCCCACACGACGGGCGAGCTGGCTCCCGCATCACCGAGCGTGGCCGACGCTCGGCTGAAGGTGACGCCCCCCCCCCCCCGTACTCTCACTCCCCCGCTCTCGCTGTGTGTATGTGCCCCCTCCCCCCCCCCACTCCCGCATGGTACCGCCCTGCATGGTACCTTATCACTGCCACCGTGTACTCCAGCGCTGGGCTGGACACGGATGTTACCCCCCCCCCCCTCCCCCCCCCCACCCGCCGCCATCACCGCCAACCGTACACTTCAGCGCTGTGATGAACACGGATGTCACCCCCCCCCCCTCCTCCCACCCCACCCGCCGCCATCACCGCCGGCCGCGTACTCCAGCGCTGTGATGAACACGGATGTCACCCCCCCCCCCCCCCTCCTCCCACCCCACCCGCCGCCATCACCGCCGGCCGCGTACTCCAGCGCTGTGCTGGACTCGGATGTCACCCCCCCCCCCCTCCTCCCACCCCACCCGCCGCCATCACCGCCGGCCGCGTACTCCAGCGCTGTGCTGGACTCGGATGATGACACAGCACCGCCGAGCACGTCTGCATGCCATGCCGTGCACGCCGGCTTTGCCGCTCGCTCGGGAGGACGCGTCGGTGTTCCGCCTGCAGGTGGCGGCGCTCATGGCGTGCATGGTCTTGCCGCTGGAACCCACCCGTTAGGAGCAGACCCGCTGTATGGACCTGTTTCTGTTTGGACCGCGGGCAGCTGTCGCAGCCGGTCTGACGGCGTGTGCTGCGTTCTCTGTCGTCGCGCTCTCCGTCCCGCGCTATGGCATGCAGTTGCAGTGTTGTGGTCGTGTAGCGTCCCGTCACGGTGGCCGCTGCTCGCCTAGCGGCTGCAGTGTGATCTTCTTTGCAAGCTTTTTTTATACATAACATCGTCAACCGAACGGCCACCCAGCTCTTTGTGTAGGGGTTGCCACTGGCAACTGAGAACCACAAACGAGTGACGGCCCTAAAACCCCACTCAGCGTCGCGAGGGATGGTACTCGTTACGCCCGTCACAGCAATGAAGTGACCATGTCCTGGCTGTGCTGTGCCGCCCACTGATCGTGCGTCCGTCTTCCAGGAGAGAGATGCCGTCAGAAAGAGGGGCAAGTCGAAGGAAGGTACGTGAAGATGCCTGGCGGCCTGGGCCTACCCGACTGCGTATGTCTGGAATTTATTGCCGCCGTTCTGTTGACAGACGTTAGACCATATCGTCGAGAGGTGTGCAGCCCGAACCTCTCGCGTTGGGTACTGTGAAAGGCTAGGGAATGGTGGTCAGTGCTGGTTTATTCGAACATGTTATTTCCAGATGTTCAGTTATGATCAGTATCTTTTGTTTAGAACGAATTTTATGCTCACGTCTGCGAACCCGAAGCTGGTTAAGCGCAATGATAATGTTGACTTGTGTGCCGGGCGAAGGAACAGGCATCACGCCACCGCCGTCAGGCGCCCAAACTAACGACAACTGTACCGTCTGACTCTGGGGCAAGATTGCATTGTGGTACTGAATGATTTTACGCTTGTTTGGACTGTTTTGAAAACTTAATATCTTGTTTTGTCGGCCGTAAGGGTGCGGAGCGAATGGCTTGCGTAGGAGTTCGATTATGGATTTGATGTATGTGTTATAGTGCGGTTGTAGGCATGAATTCTGCGTGCTTCTTGCCCCCCTAAGTCAGTTAAGCATTCCAAATAATCACGTTATTGTTTCGTGTAGCTTCACAGGTGTGCGCACCAGATGCGTTAACCGCTCAAAATTACGCGTAAGCATTAACGCAATGTATAAAATATAATAACGCCATACGTAATAACGCGACGGTACATCTGACACTTGATAACGCACACTGTAAATGCATAACGCTGGCTGTCGTTCTCTGCTGCCGCGGGGTCCGTTCGGCCTTCCTTTACGCTGCTGGTAAGTGACGACGAGGTGGTCCCTTTTTGTCTCCTTTTTGTCTCCGTATTATACGGCGGCACGATACGCCAGGAGCCAACCAAGCTCCGAATGACCCCGAATAGAAGGTCTTGGTTCTAGATGCAGGATAAGAGAAACGCTGCCAATGAAGCCCGCAATGGTTTACAACGCGGCGCTGGTGAATGTCTTGGGTCAATAAGCATGTCGTCACAAACTGTCGAGAGCATCTGCCATCCTCCTCAAAAGCCATCAGCTACTTGTGCACCATCTGCAATCAACGAACACCGGAGCTGGCACGACACCCCAGAGTGTGACCACTTAGCCTGTGCTGTCGCCTCGACCCCCCAGCCTGCCGCGCCCCGGCCAGCGTATTTACAGCCCAGTCTGACCCCGTCGCCAAGCCCTGGCCAGCGTGTCTACAGCCCAGTCTGACCCCGTCGCCATGCCCCGGCCAGCGTGTCTACAGCCCAGTCTGGCCCCGTCGCCACGCCCCGGCCAGCGTGTCTACAGCCCAGTCTGACCCCGTCGCCACGCCCCGGCCAGCGTGTCTACAGCCCAGAATGACCCCGTCGCCAAGCCCTGGTCAGCGTGTCTACAGCCCAGTCTGACCCCGTGCCGCGCCGCAGTGTACATCCACGAACCGGCAGTACTGATCGAGGGCGTGCTGTTCCGGGCGCGCTACCTCGGCTCCACGCAGCTCGTCTGCGACGGCCAGCCCACCAAGGCGACGCGAATGCTGCAGGCCGAGGAGGCCGTCTCCCGCATCAAGGTGGGCAGACCGGGCTGCCGGCGCGTGCGCGCGCACGGCCACTCCTCGCTGCCCGCCGCTCCTTCCCTCTCTGTGCGGCGCCGGCCCGCTCCGCCGGCTGCCGTGTGCCTGCTATGTGCTGGACCCGCGCTCTTCGCCGTGCTGAGGGGTCGCTGCTGAGGACCAGACCAGGGGCGGGACGAAGAAGGGGGGGGGGGGGGGAATCGAGCAGACCGGCGGCGGTGGAACGACGCTCGCGCGCCGGCCGGCCTCAGCCGTCCCGCGTCGGCGCAGGTGTTCGTCGCCGTCACGGCGGCCCGGCGGACGGACTGAGTCATCGACTCACATTTCCGGCAGCCTGGTGTACACGGCGCGACTGGGGAGGGCCCCTCTTCTTTGGGTTCTCCGCGTGCCGCCGCCGACTGCATGCCCCCGCACCGCTTCCACTGTCTGGGAGGACGTTGAGGCGTAGGCAATGGCTTGTGTGCGGCCGGATGGCTTGCCGGACGCATGGTGTGGGTTTGCACCGCCCCAGTCGTCGCTTGGGAGCCGTGGCGGGCCGCAACCCGACCGGCCACCACCGGCCCTCTGCCATTTCAAGGGCCTCGCAGTTGAATCACGGCTCATCGGACGCTGGCTGATTGGCCCCGGCAGCCGTCTGCTAGCCTCCGCCACCGAACAAATGCCGGGGTTCTGCCGCCCCGGTGCGTCACCGATCACAGCGGCGGGGCAGGGCAGGGGTGGCCGGGCGGGAACGCCGCCCCGCCCCGCCGGCCTGGCAGATCTTTGCTGGGGGACTTGATCGGGGCAGGGGCGAACACTGACAGGCAGATGACCTGTAGCGCGTGGTCTGCGCCTCAGGCCCGGCGAAAGGGATCTGACGCGGAAGGGGCGCCACTACTTGCTTCCAAACCGCGTGAACACTGGCACCACTGCCTTGGCTTGGTGGCGTGGACGCTAGCACCACTTGCTTGGCGTGGTGGCGTGGACGCTGGCACCATTTGCTTGGCGTGGTGGCGTGGACGCCGGCACCGCCTGCTTGGTGTGGTGGCGCGGACGCTGGCACCACTTGCTTGGCGTGGTGGCGTGGACGGTGGCACCTCTCGCTTGGCGTGATGGCGTGAAATGTGAACGCTGACATCAGCTGTCGAGATGGGAGGCTGGCGGTGGCGGCCCCGGCAGCGCTGGAGTGGGTGTTGTCGGCGGCCGCTGGTCGTGGACGGACCGGGGCCGGCGCCCTCGGCTGCTGCGCTGGCTTGGCGCCTGGACGGCCGCTTGCTGTTGGTCTGCTGCACTCTGCTCGGGCCGTGCCTGCTTGCCAACTTCGTTACACCCTCCCAGCCCTCTGCCGTCCGCCCCCGCCCCCGATCCTCGCCCCAGAGCCCCACCTGCGCTTGCGTCGGTGCCTGCCCGCTCTTCGGTTAGCTGACGTCACGGCATTTCAAATCGCTTGCATGGTTGTCTCGCCGGCACTGAGGCGGCAGCGACCGCCCGTCAGTCGCTCTAGTGCAGACGTTACGCTGGCCACTGCGTGCAACAGCACGCCGCGCCGGTGTGATTTTTCTTTCCGGTGGGTCACAGTGTGAGCGGTTGTGCAGAATAGCCGTGCGGGCCTTGTACTCGTGACCTGAGAATTTCAGGTCTCTGTAGTGTCTCCCTTGTAACAATACTTGATCATTTCTTGCTATGCCTGACGGCGTTTGCGTTGAGCTTGCCTAATAAGCGTCGTGAGAGTATCTGGCTGTGTCAAGCCGGCCGTTGGTTTTGCTTCACGCCAAACATAACGGGCGTCCATGACGTCGTATTTGTTCGGAGACTCCAGCCGTGTCGTTTACCAGTCTCTGTAGTGCGGCACGCGGCGAGCCGTCGAGCAATGTGTGCTGGCCGACGCGCGTGGCGGCACACCGACCGGCCGTGTCTGCCGCAGACGGCCGACGCCGAGACGCAGTCGCTGCCCTCGCTATCCTCGTCCTCGCCGCGCCTGCGTCCGCCCATCGCCTCCCTCTCCTGCGACATGGCGGCCGCGCTGGCCGGCGGCCGGCGCGTGCCTTCGCCGCCGCCTTCGCCGCCGCCGCCGCCGCCGCCGCCGGCCGCGCACTCGACGCCGGTGACGCCGGCCACACCGCCGTCGCCGGCGCCCGGGCGCGGACGGCGGCCGGCCGGCGGCGCCGCCTCCCCGGCCGGCAGCCTGCCGTCGCCGGCCGGGCGCCAACTCTCGGTGCGCTGTTCGCCGCCGGCCGGCCGGCCCGGATCGCCGCTCTACCAGGAGCTGGAGCCGGGCCGAGCCGTCTCGCCGCCGGCGGCGCCCGGCTCCCTCTTCCACCTGCGCTACCTGGGCGCCATGGAGCTGGACGAGCGGCCCGGCGACAGGCGCCGCCGCCGCCCCAAGAAGGACATGGTCCAGGAGGCCATCGCCAAGATCCGGGTAAGGCGGTCTCGCCGGCCGGCAGAGCGGACTGACGCGCCGATCCGCCGGCGGAGCGCCCCCTGGCGGAGCGCGGCGGCGGCTCGGCCGGGGCTGCCCTCCGTCAGCGGGCAGCCGCACCAGGCGGCCTCCTCCGCTGGAAGGGCCGGGGGGCCGGCTGGAGCGCTCAGTCCACGCGGCTGGACGCGCCCGGTGGCGCCGGGGCACCGGCGCCGATTGGCGGCTCACGCCCACGTGATCGCTGGGGCCGTACCAGCCCAATGTCACGTGCTCTGTATGATGAGACGGGCAGCCGTCGTTCGGCGGCCAGTCCGGTGCCCTTCGGCTCTGTGGTTTTGGCTGGCGGCAGGCATGCAGTGTCGCAAATTTATGACGGGCTGCTGATGACCTGGGGCGGGATCGAGCACCGGCCATCAATTCTTCTGTGGAGCTTCTCCAGGTTATCACGCCCTCGTAATGGGATTTGGAATCGCTCCATTCAACGCAACGGGGGGTCGCCACTTCGTGTTTTTGTTGTAGCTGAGTTTAAGGTGATGAAATATCTCGGAGAGCAGGTTGTGGGCCCCGAGAACTTCCCATAGAATATCTGATGGATCTGTCGCGCGATATGGATGAACCCCATAGGTTATGGGTGACGCTGGTGAATATCAATCCCTGGACGGACAGCGATGGTGGGGGAAGCTCATACATTTCGAAAAGAGCTCATAGCACTTCGCTTCAGAACGCCACTCGATAAGTCTTGCTTTGGGCCCCAGTAACAGTGGGATTGAAGGACTTGCATTTCATTCTAGGGTGTTCAGCCTACTTTGTGTAGCGAGGTGAGGCGCTAGGCCTTGCCACTTTGGAAATACTGAGTCCGGTATAGATAATTTTGCACGTGTCGCGTTGCAGTGTTAACCGCCTCGTTTTCTCCATGTTCGGAAATATTTGTCAACCCCCGCCGTCATGTTCTCATCCTTAGCACTAGTAGTTTCCCCGTAGATCATGAAGGTGCTTATCTGCTCTTTTGCGCTTGAGTCATCTTTGTGTCCCACTACCGCAGCACTATAAAGGACCGCCGATCTTCTACTTATGGACCTTATCATGACGTTCGCTTTCCTTTTGGGACGCAGCCAAGGCTTGTCGTAGGCGAAACGTGATGCTCGGTTGTGACTAGCCGGCTTCCCGTGAACGCCAGTATTTCCGAAAGGCTTGATGAAAGCGAGCTTTACCTCACTACAGTCATGCCTGTGTGCCAGTGACAGAATGTTCCATTGTGGTAGACATTTGCCCATGGTTTTTCGATTCGTTTCCTCAAAAAGCACTGATCCTCGTGCAGTAACTCATGCACTCGTGGCGCAGCTTAGCGAAACGTTGCCAGAGTAAGTGCTAGTATTTGTAGGTATGGTTGAATACAGGTGACTGATCTGGTGATGGGGCTGCTCGGGGATTAAATGTTGGTCTTGGTAGCTTGAAGGGTACTGGCGGTAGTCTCGAACGAAGTGATACCGACAGCGCACTACCACTGAAAGCCGCTGAAAGTCCCGTTCTCTACCGCGTGTGTTGGCTACCGGTGAGTGTGTGTCAGCCACCGGCCAGCGTGTGTCGGCCACCGGCCAGGGTGCCGCTGTCGGTCTCTAACGGTGCTCGTTTGTGTCTCGTCCCGGCTGCGTCTGCAGGCGCTGGTAAGTCCTCCGTCTTCAGCGGCGTGCGTCGCTGCCGGGTGGTCGGCGCGGGCTCGGCAGCGGCGGCCCGCTAGTGGCGTGTCGTCCGGCTTCTTCTGCACGAGCGGCACTGAGACGACGCTTTCCCGCACGCACACCTTGTGTGGTCCCTGTTGTACTGGTGCTCCGTTACGTCGTGTGACGGAAATATCCGTCACTTCGCCGTGAACAATGCCTGTTTTTCGGGACGGTAGTTTCCCGACTGTTAATGTCCTGAAGTGTCGGCAATGAGAACATTGCCCCTGTCATTTAGAAGAGCATGCAGCCTTCGCCTACGAGTCGCTTACACCTATAGCCGAGATTCCGTTGCATCTTAGAACTCAATCTGCTTGCCTCTCAACCGGACAGCGTGTGAGTGTGCTGCGCGAGTGTTAGCAGACGTCACCCGGACGGCGCCTCGCTCGACCCCCGGTACGATTGCGCCACGCCGCGCGACACGTATGCCGCGGGTCCGGCGTACACGAGCTCTTCCTCTACGTGCACGTCGCGTGTGCGCCCCGTCCGCGGCACAGTGTGACCTGCACCACGTGACCGCACCACACCAGCCGCCGGCTGTTGCGGCCGGACCGGCGGCGCGGTGCCGGGCCGTGACTGGCGCCGGTTGGCGGCGACCGCCGAGGACCGCTGCCAGGACCGATGCCACGCTCGCTCCGACCGCCGTGGCGGCACGGGGCGCACTTGCCAGCCGGGGCCGCTGGACTGTGGGGAGGGGGGGGGGGGGACGGCGGTGGCGGCGAGTCTCCGCGACCTGAGCGCGGGGCGGCGCCACCGGTGTGGACCGGGGCGGCCGCTCTCTGACCGGCGCCACCGGTGTGGACCGGGGCGGCCGCTCTCTGACCGGCGCCACCAGTGTGGACCGGGGCGGCCGCTCTCTGACCGGCGCCACCGGTGTGGACCGGGGCGGCCGCTCTCTGACCGCGCCGCCGGTGACCGCTCTCTGACCGCGCCGCCGGTGACCGCTCTCTGACCGGCGCCACCGGTGTGGACCGGGGCGGCCGCTCTCTGACCGCGCCGCCGGTGACCGCTCTCTGACCGTGCCGCCGGTGACCGCTCTCTGACCGGCGCCACCGGTGTGGACCGGGGCGGCCGCTCTCTGACCGCGCCGCCGGTGACCGCTCTCTGACCGGCGCCACCGGTGTGGACCGGGGCGGCCGCTCTCTGACCGCGCCGCCGGTGACCGCTCTCTGACCGTGCCGCCGGTGACCGCTCTCTGACCGGCGCCACCGGTGTGGACCGGGGCGGCCGCTCTCTGACCGCGCCGCCGGTGACCGCTCTCTGACCGGCGCCACCGGTGTGGACCGGGGCGGCCGCTCTCTGACCGTGCCGCCGGTGACCGCTCTCTGACCGGCGCCGCCAGTGTGGACCGGGCCGGCCGCTCTCTGACCGCGCCGCCCTCTTCAGGTCCCGGACGGCGAGACTCAGCCCAGCACGGACGTCGACCTCTTCATATCAACTGAGAAGATCATGGTGCTCAACACGGACCTCAAGGTTAGCCGGCCGGCCGGGGGTCAACTGCGACCCCAAGGTCACGTGACGCTGTCACCCGTCTTTCAGCACTTTCAGCCGTGCGCCGAACAGATGTCGTCATCGCGCATGGGAACACCACCTCATCTTACTGCTTTGTGTAATGTGATGTTTTCTGCTCATCAGCTGCCACTTTTGTTGCAGATTTCAGAGCTCAGGTCAGATCGTTGTTTTGCAGCGGCTCAAGTCCGTCGGTCGGAGACGGCGTTCAGTTTTCGCACGGTATGAAAACGTCTCATTTTGCATTGCGCATATTAGATCGAATCATGTCTTCCTGGGCGTCCCCGGAAGCAGCACACCCAGCCAGTCGACGCCTTCCTGGAATATGGCACGGTGGTACCTACCTGTCATGAGTGCTGTAAGGGCGTAGCAGCTTCGGCCGCCTCGCGCGTGGCGTGGACCGACTGTCTGTGCCGGTGACGGGAGGACCCGCGCCCGGCTTCGTGGACCAGCGCCATGGAGACCGATCCCGGCGGGACGGCGAGCCATCCGAGCACTCAGCCCATGGAGTGCAGCCAAGCCTCCCTGACCGTCGCAAGTACCGCCGGCCTGCCGGCGACCTTACTGCCAGCTCGGAGCATCCCCGACCCGGCGGTCACACCTGCCGGCCGGAGTGGGGCACCGGCGGCCGGAGTCGGACGCTGGCGGCAAGTGGGACGCCAGCGGCCGGAGTGGAACGCCGGCGGTTGGAGTGGGACGCCGATGGCCGGAGTGCGGCACCGGTGGCCGGAGTGGGACGTCGGCGGCCGGAGTGGGGCACCAGCGGTCGGAGTGGGACGCTGCCGGCCAGAGTGGGACGCCGGCGGCCGGAGTGGGACGCTGCCGGCCGGAGTGGGGCACCGGTGGTCGGGGTCGGACGCTGGCGGCGAGTGGGACGCCAGCGGCCAGAGTAGAACGCCGGCGGCCGGAGTCGGACGCCGGCGGCCGGGGTGGGACGCTGCCGGCCGGAGTGGGACGCTGGCGGCGGGCCGTCAGCGGTGTCACATCGCACCGCCGGGCAGTGTTCGCGTTTTGGTCGCGTCGCCGGTGAGACCGCGAGCCATGGCCAGTTTTCGTCCTCCTGCGAACTTCTCGGGCTGATGGCGGCTGCCCCCGGGTTCTCTCCCGAGGGCATCACCTTGTGATCTCCCGGTGGGCAGGACCGCCCCGGCCGACGCTGGCTGCGCCATCCTTGAGCCCAAGCGAGTGTCACTCTGTCATGTCACCGATAAGAGCCGGGTCGGCCAAAAATAGCGGCGTCGGCGGCGCTGCCTCGGCGCAAGATTGGACTGGATCGGACCGGCGGCCGCTCCCGGCTGAGTTACGTCCACGAGATGTCACTATATTGGAGCGCGGCCCGGCCGGCCCGGCTGGGCGTGAGTCATCCCCCGACCTCGGAGCCATCAGCCGGCCATCCCCGGCACCCGATCATCGACGACCAGTGGCGCCCGCGTCCATTGAAATTCACCAGTATGACCGGGCGCAGTGCCTCGGCCAGAATGGAGGTCGGCGTCAGGACGGCCCGTTACCCCCCTCCCCCCATCGGCGGAACGGGCGCTCCTTCCCCTCGCAATGTGGCTGAGCGGTCCGGCCGAGAGGGTACTGGGCTGGAGCTGGCGCGCCGGTGCTGGTGACGGCGGGTGCTGAGGCGGGCCCGCTTCCTCCGGCAGGAGATCATGATGGACCACGCGCTGCGGACCATCTCGTACATCGCCGACATCGGCGAGCTGGTGGTGCTGATGGCGCGGCGCCGCGTCACGGCCGACATCACCAGCGAGCCGCACACCCTGCCCAAGATGATCTGCCACGTGTTCGAGAGTGACGAGGTGAGGCCCCGCCCGAGATGATCCGCCACGTGTTCGAGTAACGAGGTGAGACCCCTCCCGAAATTATCTGCCACGTGTTCGCGAGCGACGAGGTGAGGCCCTGCCCGAAATTATTTGTCATGTGCTTGAGGGGCGAGGCGAGACGCCACCGCCTGATGCTCAGTCGATAGTGAACACACGCAGGGAGGTATGGAGGGGGACCCGGTGCGGTCCCAGGTCGGTGGTCCAGCCAGTGGCACGTGTCGTGTGTGGCACGCGCTTGGTCCCCTTACGGAGCCATGGCGTGTCAGGGATGGACCCGGCGCTAGGCGATGTAATTTACGGCGCGCCAGAGCGCTCCATCGTGCGCAATGCGTGCTGGCATACCCTACAATTTATGCGGACTCAGGACCTGTACCAGCGCCGGTAACTCCGTCCGTGACTGTGGCGATGGTCGTTCGGGTGCTCATGAATGACCGTATGGCTCACCGCGGCGGGCGACGCGTCTCGTGTCCGCGCTGCTGCGCTAATTTGAGGCGGGCCTGATCGAGAGCCAGTCGTAAACTGGCCGGAGATGTGCTCCAGGGCCGGAAGCTGGGCGACTGCGCGCCGCCTACGGTGACATTTCGCCGCATTTGCAGGCGCAATTCATCGCTCAGTCGATCGGGCAGGCCTTCCAGGTAGCTTACATGGAGTTCCTCAAGGCGAACGGCATTGAGGACCACAGTTTCGTGAAAGAGATGGATTATCAGGAGGTTCTTAACTCACAAGAAATATTTGGAGAGGAGCTGAAAATGTTTGCGAAAAAAGAGTTGCAGAAAGAGGTGAGACTTCACAAGACTGTATCATACGTTTTTCTCGAGGCGGTGCTAGGCTTGGAGCGATGCCGCAACACAGGTCTTGACATTCAGCTGAGTAAGTTTTAACGTGATGAATAAAATGGTGCGCTTTAATTCTGCAGGAGCGGTGCGATATACAGTCTGCCTTCTACGATACCGATATTTCGAATGTTGCTGCTGTATGGTGTTGGTACGATACAAGATTCGGAGATGGCCGTGCCGTGCGCCACCGCCGCGACCCGTGACGTCACGTTATGCTGAGGCGCCGGTCGCTCCCGCCGCCAGGTGGTGGTGCCCAAGCAGAAGGGCGAGATCCTGGGCGTGGTGATCGTCGAGTCGGGCTGGGGCTCGCTGGTCCCGACGGTGGTGATCGCCAACCTGGCGCCGGCCGGCGCCGCCGCCCGCTGCGGCCTACTCAACATTGGCGACCAGATCATTGCCATCAACGGCGTCAGCCTGGTGGGCCTGCCACTGGCCAGCTGCCAGACCTACGTCAAGAACGCCAAGCAGGCGACCGTGGTGAAGCTGACGGTGGTGCCGTGCCCGCCGGTGGTGGAGGTGCGCATCCGGCGGCCCGACACCAAGTACCAGCTGGGCTTCAGCGTGCAGAACGGCGTCATCTGCAGCCTGCTGCGCGGCGGCATTGCCGAGCGCGGGGGCGTGCGCGTCGGGCACCGCATAATCGAGATCAACAGCCAGAGCGTGGTGGCCGTGCCGCATGAGCGGATCGTCAGCCTGCTGGCCACCTCCGTCGGCGAGGTGAGGAGTCCGACGGCAGAGGGCCCCACTGGGCGGCCGTGTCGGTGGTGCGCCGCGTGTGCAGGCGGCGGAGGTTGAATGCGCCCTTGGGCAAGTGTGTACTGAAGTGTATGCATCTCAGTCCAAGTGCTTGTCACCGGTTGACCACTATGCCGACACAGCGCTCCGTTCAGTTAGACGCGGGTTGGTGAACTCACCGAAATGTCGCTCCAGTACTGCACGTATACACCGAAAGTTCGGGGCGCACGCGCGTAAGTCGGTCTCGCGGGATTGTCAAGCTTTACGATACCACCTCATGACCTGTCGATTCCGAGGTTCGTGAACTGACCTGTCTCGGTGCCTGTTCCAGATCCACATGAAAACCATGCCAACATCGCTGTTTCGGCTGTTGACGGGCCAAGAGTCACCCGTGTACATCTGAGCGCGTCTTCGTACGTTCCTACGCGCCGCTAGTCAGCCGTCGGACTTGCGCCTCGTATATCATGGGCCGTTGCGTGTGTCGGCCCGTTGCGGGCGCGACCGGCGGCCGGCGGGTTGGCCGGGTTGTGATAGCGCCGGCGGCCGCCCGGCGCGCGCCAGGTGCCATACCGGACCGGGCCGCCGCCCCGCGCTGCGACCGTCCGGCGCGCACCAGGTGCCATACCAGGCCAGGCCGGGCTGCCGCCCTCCCCGCTCCGTGCCGCGGCCGCCGTCGGCCGGCGCCGGCAGGGACGCGGCTGCGGCCGGACCCCCGCCGGCCGTTTATTTTGTGTGATCAGCTTATGGGAAGTGTTGTGAATACTCGTCGCGGCGCGGACGTCGGCGTTCAATGCTGGCGACCGGGCGACGCCTCGCCGCGTCAGCCAGTATCGATGCGGGCAAAGTAAATACATTGGAAGTGAAAGTACAAGGCGTTGTACTTTGTTATGTCTGGGCTTGGAAGCACGAAGTCATCGATTTAGCAACGCTCGTTGAGGCTTCGCCGACGGCGACAGCATGGCGGAGATCAGTCTCGTAACCTGGCGCCGGGCCTGTTACAGCACCAGATGGCGCTGAGGCCGCGGTAGGTGTCATGGTATTCGGTGCCATGCGCCGCGAAAGGTGGGGCGCCCGTGTGACAACACTGATGTGTAACACACGACATAGTCCACAGAACACCCAACATCCAACAGAATTCCAGGCATCTTGAATCTTGGAAAAAAGTCCGGTTGACCAAGCGCCCAAACCACCCAAGCATGGACAATTTGTATGTTGCCATATTCGGCAAGCGGCTTCGTTTGTGACAGGCCGCTCAAGTCTTCCCTGGACACGGTACTGTCCGTGCCACACACTGCGCTGGCGTATCATTCGGTGAAAGATGGGATAAACTGTTATATCAAAGCGGGGGCTGACGCAGGAAGTTCTGTTCGATGACGACAGATGTAGCTCGAGGCGCGCCGCGGCGGGCCTTTGGTCCTCGGCGGGCGAACGGCATCGGCTCGGTGCCTGTTGTCGGGTCCGCTCGAACAGTCATTGCGCGGCTGACTGTCTCGTAGCACCGCTCAGACACCACAGCGCCATCTCGTGACCATCCCAGGTACCAATATTTGCCAGTCACGGCCGCACGATGGATGGCTTCAGCACGGACAGTTCGTCGCCGATCCATTTCCTGGCTCGATGCAACCGAAATAGGAGACGTCGACAATCTTCGCCCTAGCACCAACACCACCATGCAGCAGGCATCCTGATATAACGTTAGGACGCAATCGACACAGGTCGCCGAAAAACAACACAACCCACGTCAATAATAGGTCTCAGCGCGCCAACGGCAGAACACCTGGCATGGTCACTGCTTGCACCAAGAACTGCTTGATGCATGGGATGCCAAAACAGCATCTACCCTGCTGTACAGGCGACCACATGCCTCATTTGCTACTCGCAGAAGGGCCACACCTGCGTGTCCGGACGCACGCCGTACCAAACCGCATACATCTGGGCTCCACTACAGGGGACGCGCCCCCAGCTTCACCAGGAACACGCGGACAAACGTCGTGAGGAACGGAACGGTTTCAAGATCTCCATGACCTCGCTCGCCGCCACTACAGAGGTCCGCCGAGAGCTACGTCAGATCCCGACAGAGACCCACTGGAAATTGATTCAGACTACGACAGAGGCCTGCCGAGAGCTACTTCGGATCCTGACAGAGACCCACCGGGAACTGCCTCAGACCCCGACAGAGGCCCGCCGAGAGCTACTTCAGACCCCGACAGAGGCCCGCCCAGAGCTACTTCAGAACCCGACAGAGGCCCGCCCAGAGCTACTTCAGACCCCGACGGAAGTCTGCCGAAAGCTACTTCAGACCCCGACGGAAGCCTGCCGGGAGCTGCTTCAGACCCCGACAGAGGCCTGCCGAGAGCTGTTTCAGACCACGACAGAGGCCAGCCGAGAACTATTTCGAGCTCCGACAGAGGCCTGCCTGGTGCGGCAACCACCCACCGGACGCTCATCTCTGCCGCCCACACAAACGCCGCCTGGTGACAACCGTGTATTTACTGTCCCTCAGGCATGGAGTGAATGATGTCGGAATCACCGGCGTCGGTAATCGTCATACCGCAGACACGGAAGTATTTGCCGCAGGCTGTGCCCAGCTCGATGTTGTTGCCGTTGTAGTGATGCACGCCCGTCTTCGCCAACATGGCGTAGTACTCGATCTCGGATTTCCTGCCAACGCACGGCTGGGTGAAAACAAGCAATGCCATCAATCTTTCCAAGGGGACGAAGCAGACCGAATTCGCGAGCGGTGTGCATGAACCAAAGTGCATCCACTGCTAATCAGGCATGGGGCGAAGACAGGCGTCTGACTTCGAAGCTGGAGCTGAAGCCGACGAGCCCATCAAGCCCAGTCATGGCCGAGCCTTCACATGCCCCCCCCCCCCCCCCAAGCCGAAGCCCGTGGCTTTGAGGTTTGAAACTGCAAAAACGAAGTCGCAGTCGGCGGCCTCCTTTGAAGACGCGAGACCGAACCCGAAGCCAGCGGCCTCCCACCTGATAATATTGTCGGCGTTGGGTGCAAACTGAGGAAACGGTACGCAAGACCCCAATGAGGTGCACGTTATTTTCCCGCATCGAAACCATTTTCATGCCTGTAGTGCTAGCATTACGGACATATTTTTGTGGGCCGATCGTCCCCCGTCGTGTGCTAGCACGCACATTACGCCTCAGTTGTCTCCATCCGTCTTCACTTGCTAACAGGTCCTAAGAATGGCTAACTGGTTTAGGCTTTCTACAACGCATGACCGGCAGCCTCGAAGATTGTGGTTTATTGGGCTCACAGGACAGCCACGATTCTCCACGAAATACAATCAAAACTGCAGCAAAACCTGCATTATGTCAAAACCAGAGCCACAACACAAAAAGATCCACAGCTGTATACAGCTGTCCGAATGATTACGCAAGCTCCAGCCAATGAAATGACAAAAAGCCAATGCTGAGCCCAGAATCTCATTTTCATTGGGGCCAAACAACGCCCTCAGCTGCTGAAGCTATCTAGCACTGCCTGCCTCTTACCCTGGCAGGAAGGGCGGGCACGGCAGGGGATCGGGCCCCATACCTCTTGTTCCCCAGAGCAGCAGTGGTTAAGGCAAACAAATTAACCATCACACTGTCGGCACTCCGAGGCAGTCATAAAATTTTATGAACATTAAGCCAAAAAAGAGACCATTCAAGGAGTCCCTAGTTCCATGAAACCAAAGCCAGCTTCGCCAACATGCCTATTCTCAATTTAACTTTGCTGCTCAGCACACCCATTGATCTTTTTGTTCCATGTGCATTAATCTTATTCATGAAAAATATGGTGAAAAGGTTGGAAGTGACAAGTATGCAATGCAACAAAATGCAACTGCTGCTCAGCAAATGTACAGCAATGCATCATTCATGCATCAATTACTTTTCCTCTTATATTTACACAGCAGCAGCATGGAATCAGACACGAAAATCATGACATCTTCACTTGTGTTGAGAGGTGAGAAAGCCTTCCTGTCAAAAATATCAATTTAAGTGCCCAAAACTGAGCAAAATATGATCTGCATTGAGAGAAGGCTTTCCCAACTTGGGGCCAAATGAGACTACTCCATAGCCATTCAGCTCCTGTCGGAGATTGAATGTCTACTTCTCAGCCTCACCTAAGGGCAGGGGTATTGCTGGCAATGATAACAAGCTTAGCTTTTCCCAGGCGCAGCATCTTCAGTGTCTGTTTGTATCCAAACACGTATTTGCCAGACTTCATCACCAGCGCAAGTCGCGAGTTAATCGACTCCAGCGCCTTTTTCTGTGGAAGGAGGGAAACATACCGCCATGCACTGGCCCATTGTGGAGTGGTGAAATCATTGGCAACCAATGTGATAAGCTCACCATATATGTATACGTCTTGTACAACAGCAACCCCATACACATGCCTATGCAATAGGAATGTAACATGAGGAGATGCTGCCAGGTGACACTAATGATTCAGTACCTACCAAATCAGTAGTGGAACAGCAAAAGCAAAATGTTAAATAATGCATAACTGATACATCATCCTGGAGTATACTCATACAATATACCTCATAGTGTCATTGGTGCCTTACAGCATGCATCTGCTGAGGCTATACAACATTGCCTGCCTCTCACCCTGGCAGGAAGAATGGGCACTGCTGGGAGTTAAATCATGCACCTTGAGTTTCCCAGACAAGCAGCTTTATCACCATCAATGCCCCTATCATAATTCTACAAATGGAATTGAGCAAATATATTATGCTGCCATGCAAAATTCAAATAAAACCAGCCCTACTACTGCAATATATTCAACAAAAAACTTTTTATGTTGTATAAACATGACATAACTCAACATGACACTCACATGACACATGACATGACACTCACTGATACTTCTGCTCAGAAGCCTTTGGTTGGCCCACCCCATGATAGAACCATCCCACCATTACCAAAATCCCAATCCTGATGTTAGAGTGATGGTGACTGAACTCTAAGGCAGCACAGACAGTTGGAGGCTATTTTTGTGTCATTCAAGGTGTTGGTGGAAGTGGTGTTGTTCTATACTAGGGTGGGCCAATGGGAGGTTTTTGAGCAATACATCAGTGAGTATCACATAGCAATTTCACTGAGCCCTGACAAGGTGACAACACATATTGCAATTGGTTAAAAAAGTAACATACCTGCTTCTTTGGGGGAACCATTGTTGCACTTCACTGTCACCTGAAAGCAAACAATTCTGTTAGAATTGTGTTCAGTGGGCCATAGTAACAGTTTTCAGTGGGCCTCATCACTAATACATCTTCACATGCAGTTATAACCAGCCACCTGGTCATTAACAGCAGACAAGACCACACATTTTTGACATTTGATAACAATCCAGACAATTGTGTGCAATTGTGTGATTGGGGCTTTACGACGCACTCAGCTGCTGAGGCTATATGGCGTCGCCCGCCCCTCACCCTGGCAGGAAGGGCGGGCACCGCGGGGAATCAAACCCTGTACCTCTGGTTTCCCAGATGTGCAGTGGTTAACATGGATGTGTTGACCTGTTAACAGGTTGACCCAGACAATTATGACCAATCCTGTGCCATCCAAACCCAGGGCCTAATATTTTCTGGCTGCCATATGATCAATGACAGCTAATGTTGCAATTACTCATGATGTCTGTTGCAATGTGTGTTAATTATGTTGCACAAAGGTAATTTCAGGAAAAAACACAAATTTCAGCAGTGCTAAGACTGACCTGTATTCCTCACACATATGCACCAGGTTCATCGCACACATGTGCACCAGATTCAGCACACACATGTGCATCAGATTCAGCAACCACATGCATACCAGATTTAGCACACCAGATTTGTCACTCAGATGTACACCAGATTCAGCACCCACATGTGGACAAGATCTGGCACACATGCACCATGTTCAGCTAACCTGCATCATGTTTGGCACACCTGACCAACTTCTACACACATGTACCAGTTTCTATACATGTGTACCATGTTCCATACACACATGCACCATGTTTGCTTCACTGTTGTCAACTACACTCAAGGCATCCCAACCACAAAGGGATTGTTTGGCACGGTCAGATTATGGGATGAACTGTGGCAAAGAGGACAGCTTGTTTACACCATGTGCCACCTTTGATGACCCACATTCACACATAGCATGTGCACCACAAAAATAGTAAAATCCCTGGTTAAGAGGCACACACCAACTGACTTTCTAGTTTCTAGTTTCTAGTTAGTTTTCTGTCCTTGCTAGTTTGAAGAGGCTGGCAAGTGCAAAAAACTGTACTGAACTGAAGAACATTGTGAATAAGTTCCAGAGTGCAACATGCAGCATATCTTGCATCACACCATGCACATACCATCTATATATGGTCATATGCCATGAGCAGAGCTAAAAACCTATTTGCTTTGTTGAAAGAAGACACCCTTGTATCATAAGGGAGCTTATCTAATGCCCACATGACACACAGCATAAGGCTGGAATGGAAAGCATACACATGCCAAACAAGTCCAGCATAGTGGCAGCATTACTGCAAAAAATTTCAGTGGACATACTCTGGAAATCCTAATCCTAGAGTTGGACATATGGTCACCACAATATTCAGCTAATATTCGCTGCTTCAGGGGCTTATGATGTTGATAGAATTTTAGGTGAAGACATTCAAAATTGTTTTCTCTCGAACATGAATTTGAATTCAATCCATCACGTCAGCTATGTGCAACATTGTCCAGTCCCACGCCACCTCGTCCAGCCTGGACCAATCTCTTAAATCCCGCCAGGTCCTCTCCCATGCCATTCTGTCCAGCCCGGACCAGTCTCTTTGATCCTGCCAGGTCCCCCTAGGCCCAATCCTCCCACATCTCACCCTGTTCAGACCAGTCTCTCTGATCCTGCCAGGTCCCCCTAGGCTCATTATGCTCCATCAACCACTGTCTGAGTTTGGTCTGGCTTCTGTCCATCACGTCTGCTTTCATTCCATCACCTCCCAGGCCCATCTCATCCCGTCCGGTTCACCGGACCTTCCAGAGCATTCCAGTCCCAACCAGGTCTCATCACATTTCATCCAGGCCCATTTGACCATGTCTGATTCCCCTTATACTCTGTTCAGCTCCATTCTGTTCTGTCCTGTGCAGTCAGTCCCTGGCAGAACTGCTAGCAGGCCAGCAGTAATTTTGTGATGTTACAACCAGCTGATGTTTCTAACCCCCCTACCTTTGCATCAGCAACTGCATGCAGCACTGCAGCCCAGGGGGACAGTCCGGGTGTGATGTGAAGGTAAAACAAAATAAAATAGATGTGAGGTAAAATGCTTCTATGCCATTATCTAGCACATATACCTAACTGAAAATGGTAAGTGTTCAAAATTGCCTCGTGGATCTGATAATACCAATATTGTATGCATCTCATACTAGATTACATTGACTGAGGCAGTGTCATGAAGTGTGAGACCTACATCTGTGATGCCAAATAGTCTTGTAACATTCAAAGCAATTACATTGGAGACATTCACAATGAGTATCAAATGAAACTGACTGCAGACCTACACGCCCAAAGTCTTTGGAAGCATGCAGACTCAAAATCATACACAAAACATGGGGTACAGGATCTTGTGATGATTATTTGGTTTTTACAGCATGTCATCATTTAAGCCATTTAGCACCCACCCAATGATAATCCATATATCATATTTTAATTATCTTGTGCCACATGATAAGTGTGTTGTCAACTGGTAAAAAGCAGCATCACTGGTGCACTCACACTAAAGGCTGGGTAAGGATGATGTCAAAATCAGCACATCCTAAATTTGAGCATATTTCTGATTTCATAGCATATGTCTCAACCAATTAGCATACAGAGGTGCACTGGCAAAAAATATGGTCACCCATCTGCTTCAAGGCGCCTGCGTGAAACATGGGCATACTCCAAAGACAACCAGTCCCCCGCGTCTATCACCTTGATGACAACTGTTAACCATCAGCAACAAGGAGAAAACCAATGTTCTTTGCAAATTCTTCACCACGTTTTGACAAAGGAACTTGTGCATTGCCTGTGGTGCTTTGCAACTTTGATGGACAGCTTCTGGAAGACATGGAAATCTCACCCAGACTGCAGCACAGAAACCAATGGTTCATTATGCTCACATGCTCCAATTTACCTGAGCATGCCATACCAGAGATCATTAACATCCAGAAGACTCTAAGGCCACCCAGATGCTGGCTTCCAGCTGCATATATGCTGTCACTGCTGTACAACACCATGGTATACCATGTTTTTGGAGTTACAACAATACACTGCATGCAGAGCTGGGCACTGGCCATATCCTGATTTACTGAGAGACAGACATGGTTATAATGTTTCCAATCACTTCATGGCAGCATGCCATGGTTGGTAGAGTTCCTGACAAGACAACTATTGGGTCCAGCCTGTAAAATGCATCTACTGCACTAAGTGACCACACTATATTGGTGCACTGAACCTTACGCTCACATGCTCATGGATGACACATTGCAGTGACTTTTCGTGATCACTTCAGGTAAAACTATATTGAGGAAGTTTTGCATAAAATATCCTTTCCATCATAATCCCTTGAAAAGTTCTAGAATTGGTAGCATATGCATACTGAAATTTTGAGTGTCATTTCAACCTCAATTAAACAGCTTTAATACAGGCTTAATTTACACTAATCTGACTGTCTGGTTACCTGAACAGTGGCTGAGACTAAGCACCATTTCCAATCCATAATCACCACAAAGATCCAGACTGCTGAGCACCATACTAGTCTTGGTTCCACCAATCATGTTGTTACCAAAGGTATTATAATAATCACACTCATCCACAACACATGAGTACTGCTTATGCATAAACTCCTAAGCAGAAAGTGCAAAGTAAACGTGGGAATGACGTGCATCCCGTACCATCCTTGGAAGTCTATGCCGCACGCCACTACATCTACCTAAGTGACATGTTTCGGCAACCCGCAAACCCTGATGTAAAGCATCTATTGATGCACCAATCGACAGGATTTCATTTCAGTTCTTGCGCGCCATAGCTCACAGGAAATTTTGACTGCGACCTATATGGTGTCGAACGAGACTTTAAACATCCTCAGCTTCGCTACGGGCATGACGGGCAGGTCCTGTAAAAATAAGCAGGCCTCTGTCCACTTACTTAAATTTTCCCCAGTATTCATAACCAACACACAGTTAAACAGCACTATGACGTCTAGGTATTCGGAAAAACGTCCCCCAAGGGGCTCTCACCCTCCAACCCAACCGAGCAGTCACCGGAAAAGACGGACGGAGAGAAGGACAAGAATCTCCATCACACCTCTATGATGTGGACGGAAGTACTTGTTTTGGCTTTGAGTACTCTAAAGCTTTGTTTTGAGTACTAGTATTTTTTAATATTATGTTTTATCTAAAAACTTAGTCCTGAATTTAAAGTGACCTTGATCCTCAGATACAACGGTTCATTTCTCCCCAAAAATTGCGGGTCCAATGCGAAGTACAACAATCATGCAGTAATCTAATGATATGGGTTGCATATACAGTTAGATGTGTAACATACCCCGTAATTGCTTTACTTGAAATTGTTTCCCTTTTTACCATGGCTGTGCGTATACACCCTCCAAAACGTAGGGCGGTTACGCACCGGGCTTATACACCTTGCAAAACGGAGGGCGGTTACGCACCAGGCTTATACACCTTCCAAAACGGAGGGCGGTTACGCACCGGGCTTATACACCCTCCAAAAATCTTTCAGATGGTTGTACGTGTCAGGCGTACGTGCATTGGCAGCCTTGGAGGCAAGGAAGTGCAAAAATGCAGAATCCCGTGCGAGAAGTTGGTTTTATGCGTGATAAACATCAGACGATCACTGTGGTATTGTAGCGCAGCGAATTACGGCAGTGTTTCAACATGTTCCGCTGCGCCGTTTGGAAATATAACCGACTCACAAGTTGATTGCGACGCGCCAAGCCACGTGTATGGGGTTGTGCCTGAAATTATGGTGTGTTCGAAGATTTTGGGTGGTATGCACGAAAGCTTAAGAGGTGTATTGTACACGGTGCTGTTTGTGTGTGCGGAAGCCATTTGTTAACTTGGTGGTAATGTTAAAGGCACAGGTTTTACTCCGTGATTTTAGTGTAAGGCGGCATTGAACCGCTAGTTGCAGGGAGTTAAGAATGCCATATGACCAACGTAGTCGGTGCGCCCCAAAGCTCAAATCATCGCAGGGAGTTGAGTGCTTTGCTTGCTGTCTTGCACTATGCTTGATCGTGTGCGTTGTGTTTCTGTAGCTGCATTTTTTAGGACATATATGAACCTGGTGGTGCAAAATATACTGCATTATTGTTACTATGTGTCATAAAGATGATGCATGTCTTCAATTAATCCAGATGCTGCTCAGATAACTAGCCTCTTTTTTGATTTTTTGTTTGAAATAATTTTGAGGCATGAGATATGAGCAGTACAACTGACAGCTGGCAAACACAATGGTGTGAATATTGATGCATAGGATTAGGTTGCAATCTCATCTGATCACATATTATGGTTGTTTTGGGGACTGAATCCCATGTCTCATCAATTTTTCATCATCACATCATTGTTGTTAGGTATATGAGTGCATGTAAGCACATTATGTGATGGATATATAATTACCATGAAAGTGATGAGATATGACATTTTTTGTAGCTGTTCCATTGCATGCTTTGTGGTCCAAGCTTCATAACTTGCTGTATGAGTCTGATTATATCAAGGGTATCATAAAGGGTATCTCTTCCCTTGAAACCTGATGACAACTATAGCACTCCACTTTTTTGCTTAGATATACCAGGGACCTGCAGTGAAATTGTCAGAGACAGGTACCCAAGAGGGAGATGTGGAAAGAGGGCTGTCTGCAGTCCTTACAGTGAGAAGAACTGTCACAAGACTGTGCTGCTGTGAATAGACATTGGACATGCATTGGTACCCTAAGCCACCAAGGGTGAGAACTGTGTATGCTGTATAGGAAATAAATGTTGTGACTAGGTCTTTTACATATGTCCCATTGTCATTGATGTTTAGAATAAGGACATTGTATTGCTGTCCCTGGTATTTGGAAAATCATGCTGGAGTGTGTTATGCATGGATAGATGCAGGCAGGCTGTGCACTAGGCATTGTCTAATTGTTACAAAAAAGTTTGCTTTCCTCTTTTGCAGACAAATTGAAATTTCTACCTCTGAAAATGATTAAATCTGCATTTCAAACAAGACATGAGCAGAGCAGTAGCTTTTATGCAGCAGCTTCAAAATTGATTTCCTTACCTGCACATGGCTCTTGAATGTTTTTCAAAGGTCATAGTAAGTTGTAACAAATGACAGGTTTTGATCTCTTCAGGCAATAAGATGACCTGATGCAAGATTATAAGTAATTATTTTGGATTCCTGTGGATAAGCAATCTGGAAATATGCATGGCATGACTAGCATACTGTGTGTCATTTTGGCCTCATATGACCTCATCTTGACATCCTACCTACATCTTGACTATGTATTGACCAGAAAAAATTGTAGCTGACATGTAGGCTGCATAACACAATCAAAATGAACGTGAAAATATTTTGAATCAGATTGCATGAATACAGCAAATTATCACGGTAACCTTTGGAATAACCTTGACCTGACCCATTGTGGCATTTACATGTTCATGACACAGCATCCTCATTTACCCAAAGAGCATATGCTTTTTGAGGAAATGAAACACTCCAATTGACCGAGCCCCTGCAAACATTTATGGGGGTCTGCAGACCTATGCCCTGACCTTGACCTTTCATGTCAGCATGATTTCTAATTGTTTCTTTAAGATGCGCCCGTGGACTCTTTCGGTTTGCATATATATTTCCAACTTAGGCAATTAATTCTTGAAAAAGCTTTGTTAGAGTTTTGTCTCCTGACTTTCCATCCCGGGGCGCTCGGCTGGGACGCCAGCTAATCAATTATTGATAAACCTTGCAGCTGATATTATGGCCTACTCGGAGAAGAAATAGTCTTGTCATAGTCTTGTTGGATGGGAAGGTGTATGATTAAACCAAGGCTGTCGCCTCTAATGTGTTCTTTTGTGTATATTGCTTGCATCTTGAGAAAATGCTAACATGAATCATGAAAAAAGGAAACAGTTCTTGATTTGCATCACCCAACTTATGTATGGCGCGACCGAAACAAAGCAGGGCTATTTCGTCTCTCCCAGCAAACTGACGAGCAGGTGCATCTCGGGACCCGAAGCCGGTAGAGAATGGCCCATTTCAATCACCCGTTATGCAACATAGCAGCATCTCGGCGCCAGCTCTGCACCGAAGGTACGAGAGCCGCACCTGTGCCATGAAGCAGCAGGTTAGTACCTTCCAAATTTTGCCTTTTCTCAGCCAATGGCTGCTGACACCAAAGCGTAGTCGGTGAAGGAAACAAGGACAGTTTCTTATCGCTGAATCTGTGGTGGCGACGTAGAAATGATGTTGCCTACGTCCTCCTTCATCTCTGGCGGCAAGCAGGCGTGATTCGGCGCAGTATTTTCGGTGTCATGTAAACCACAGATGAACACAACGTCATCAAATCGTTTACAGTTCATGCATTGGTACATGTCGCAGCACGTCGACAGGTACTGCGCTTTTTCCCCATGCTGCACAGTCTCGCATCGTCGTCGCAACGGGAAACCCACTATAGGGTACGTGGGAACTGGACAAAAGGGAAACAGCGGCATCAGAGGCCGAGCCCGAGGATTGCCTTGCCCTGCAGTTTTTAGTATCATAATTGTAAAACCTGCATACCACTTGAATAATCTCACACAATTATATCCCGTGGCACAGACGGCGGTGGCATGGATAGCACGCCCCCCCCCCCCCTCCCTTAGGATCTCCAAGGGCTCGCTCAGAGCCCTTGGTATCGACGATTGAGGGCCCATTATGAATGCCCAAGGGTCTGACTGGGGGTCGCATTAAGGTGCCTGACCCTGCTGGTTGGGCTTACAAATACCAGTCAGAGGGCTCTTTGTATCGATTGCAGGGGGCCCCTGCGTCGATAAGAGCCAATCGGTCGGTCGGGCACTACCAGAACCAAACATCCGGCTCCTCGGCAGTCTAGGTCTGAAGACCCATTTCTGAAGCAACGGCAAAGCCGGGGTTCCCATGTCGCCCAGGGTCCCGAGGTGCCTGACAAGGTCCCGCGATGGGAAGGTGCCCCGAGGCCGTCAAGAGCCGTGTTCGAGGGGATCCGAAGACCTTGGGACCAAAGCTCAAGGGCCTGGGCGGAAGACAGAAGGGCCAAAGTGCTGGCTGTAGGTTACGACTCTCCGCTGGTAGCGCCGTAGCCTCAAATATCAGTCAGAACGTCTCTTCCACCGATTGGAGACCCCTAGGGCGATGTGGGCCCCTATTTCAGCAAGACATTACCAACACCGAACAGCTGTTTTCGTGCTGGTGTTGTTTCGTGCTCTAAGAGCCCGCTTCACAAGCATGGATGAGGCCGAGCCCGAGGATTGCATTGGTCTGGACACCTGCGACAACGAGAAGCCCTTGTGGCGGTCAGTGTCCCACAGTGCCCAACAGTAGCTGCTCTTAGGCTTGCAGCCACAACAGCTCGCCAAATCATCTGTCGTCTGAATGCATCGCGTCTATCTGGGTGCCAATGTTGTGGTTACCAGAAAACGACTGCTTCATCGTAGGTTGACAATCTGGACACAACAGACATCTATTGTATATAAATGTCATATTCTGTTCATATCATATATTGCATAGGTGTACAAAATGTAATACATAAAAGGCATATGTAAATTATAATTTATAAAACGCATATGTAAAGCATAATGTATAAAACGCATATGTATAATAAACGGAAATGACAGCTAAAGCCACGCGTCCACCGCCAGTGGTCAAACGTGTCGCAACAAGTCAGGGACAACGACATGACACCACATCCGAACGTAACGACATCATGTTTGGCGCCAAAAGAAAGTAACTGTTCATCGACCCACTATAACGTAACTCTGTACAGCTACGCATAATTAGCCAATGCGCTGCCCCCAAACACAAGTGCACCCATGCTGCCATGGCATTCACAGATCCATGACGACCTACCGACGGCTAGGGCAGGTCGTCGTACCGCATCTGATATGGCCAGCTTAAAACTATGTAGCAATTCTCTTAAGTCCAAAAGAAGATGGCTGAACTACTTGCCACTCAAGGCAGCCTATGCTCTGGGGGAAACTACCGTTACTTGCACATTGAACAGA